ACAGTGCACTCTGCACACAATTCTAGTGTTTATAACATAAATATTGTGCAATAATGCCTTATTTTTTCTTCGCATAATAATATTTTTATTATGACAATGATAAACATTTTTGGAATTACATTGGAAAGTTTTTTGGTTTTTAGATAGGACATTGTCTTAAGACTTTTAGTCGCTACGAGTACATTATTTTTAAAATCAATTCAATAAATTAGAAACTATTCAAAATTGTTTAATTGTATTTTAAATTAAATTGTGGGTTTTTACATATAGCTCCAACACATAAAGTCATCGACATGGCCCGAAGGATAAGCAAGCTGAAGTGGCAATATACTGGTCACATTGCTTGAAGAACTGACAATCGATAGGGAAGAAAGGTTCATGAGTGGCGACCTCGTATGGGCAAACGCAGTGTAGTACTACCCCGCACTAGATGGAGCGACGAACTCAAATGCATTGCAGGAAGTCAGTGGATGCAGGTGGCTCAGAACCGTTCTTAATGACAGTTTATGAGGGATGCCTATGTTTAGCAGTGGATGGTTGAGATGATGATAATGATGAGATGATGATGTGTCTGATCATAGATGATATGTATAATGGTAATAGTACACGATATGGTGCCGTATTATGATGACACATAGCTCACATTGCGAAGCGCCCTCTTAAACTTCATGAGTTTGCAACTTTTTTTTTCAAATCAAAGTCTTTTATAAAAATTATTACTTTGTACATACAAAACGATTATTAGACCAATTGTTTTTTTTTATTGAAACCATACAGATGACTTGTATGTACATATATTGTTGATGATTTTTGGAAGCGGTAGGTATAATTACATAATATAATTTATACTAATAATATATAATTATTTTTAATCTTGCATCGATACTGAATATACTTTTGTCTGTAACTGAATTACGTAAGCTGATTTGTATATGAATCATTAGCTATATTTAATTATCTTAATACTAAATAAATACTTAGTTTAAAATAAATATAATACCTATTATGCGATTATATAAAATCCTTGTACTCAGTTACATATACAAATAATGAATTCATATTTCTTTTTTCTAATTATATATATATATATATATATATATATATATATATATATATATATATATATATATATATATATATATATATATATATATAATTAGAGTTACTTTTTATTTGATTATTGTACAAAGTGTTTCAGCAATTTATTCCTGTAGGAATTCGAACTATCATGCACTATTTATTTATTAATTTATAGATAGATAATCATCAACTAAAGTTACAGATATATTAACACGTATAGAGCATTTGAAATGGGGTTGGACAGGACATATGCTGCGTTGCAAAATTGACAAACGGAGTAAACAAGTAACTTTATGGTGTCCAAGAGAAAACACTAGAAGAAAGGGGCGCCCGAAAACAAGATGTATAGACGACATCCGTCAAACATTAGGGCCTTACTGGAGTAGAGTGGCGGAGGATAGAGTTCAGTGGAGAGAGCTGGAGGAGGCCTATGCCAGGAGGCACACCGAATTGAGAGATATATAATAATAAATAGAAAGGGAAAATATGTCTTACTAGAGTTATATATATATATATATATATATATATATATATATATATATATATATATATATATATATATATATATATATATATCCACAAATAGTAGAACGCACGAAAATTAATCAACTATACTCGAATAATAAATAAACACATTGTAAAGATTATAAGCATCTATAAATAGCACGAATTAGGGTCAATCGTAATACAACGAAATGTACCTATGTTAAGTACACAATCAACAATACTGACCGATTATGTTGAGGACATGTAAACATTTGATGTACCATATATGTATGTACATACAAACAAACAAACATGTGATAACATGTTAAAACAAAGGAAACCCGTGATGTCGCGAACGCACTTGAGCTATCGTCTTCAAAATTAGTTCGACTAATATTTGTTTTAGCCGTTCATTTAATTATTGTATAAATTTAGAGGTAAACATTTAGAGGTATTTCTTTATTACTAGAAAATCTATTTTTTTTTTAAATTAATAAAAAAAAATTCTAAAGTCTTTGGTAATATGATTCTAGTTTTCTATAAAACAGGCTTAGCTTAGTGTAATAATGTATGTATACATACATATCAATGTTAAACTTTGTAAATATTTTTTTTAATTAACAGATTCGGCCATGTCTCATGACGTAAGGCGTGTCGTGGGTGTCATAGAGTATTGTGTGACGTCTGTGTCTGTGGTGTTCATGTCTATAATTGACGGTTATCACTTTCCATCACGTGATCTGTCAGTCATTTTAAGTTGCATAACTAAAAATTGTCTCACGGAAAAAAAACAATTTTAATAGAGACAAAACAAGTTACTTTGGTCTAATAATTAAACTATTGAAGTGATTTTAATAAAATTTCAATACGACCAATCTGTAAGTATATCCTTTCGGATAAAAAAAAAATCCGAAATCGGTTTATAACTGTGGGAGTTGTGAGGTAATGAACATAAAATAATAAAACCGAATTGAAAACCTCCCACTTTTCGAAGTCGGTTGATAAAAAGATCTCACATTTTGGAGAAACGATATTTCAGAACAAGCCAGCTCTTGTCTTTATCTATCTGATAAGGTAGTGTACATATAATGTACATATATACACAGTAGACACAACCACAATCTCATTTATGGCCTCCACAAACGAGGAACATTACATTTACGGGTAGTATTTCTAATTATTTATCTCGTCTACGAGTCCCCTTAGGTTCGACAAAAAACTTCGGTGTTGTGAAAATATACAAATCACACAAAAAAAAATGTTGTCTATGTACAAAATCTCTATTATTTGTGCAGTCTTTGTCTTTAGACATTTCAGGAAAAAAGAACTTAAGAGAACATTACAGAATCTGTCACCTTTTGTTTATATACCTAAAAATCATACCTGATATTTAAAAAAAATTCAAAGAACGACATTACTGAGGGCCTACCATGAAATGTTTTCCGAAATTTCGGAGCCGAACGAAACACAAATTTGATGTTAAAATTACATAATACTTACCGTTTAAAAACATTAAAATATTATTCCTTTGGACTTTTATGGTTGAACGAAATGTTAAGCTCCATTTACTGGGCCGTATTAGGTATGAAAGAAAACATGAAATTGAGTTCGAAACTTCGGAATTTCATTTCATGGTTAGCTCCCTGAATCTGCAACCGTTTATCTAAATGTTCAACAACTGTAATCCCATCCTTTAAAAAAAGATTAAACAACGACATTTCAGAATCACTGCCCTTTGTCTGATTGACTAACAGTCGTGTCTAATGTTTTAGAGTACCAAAATCCAAAATCTACTCGACTTTGTTCAAGTGAGTAATAGTCGAATAATATATTTTAGAAACAGATTTGAGTAGGCTTAATAATATTAAGAAAATCCAAATGTTTACGTATTTATTTATTTTTTCGAAATATTTAAATATTAACTATTTCATCAGATTTCAAGATTTAATTTATTAAGTCATACATTTTTTGATAATCAAATAATTAATTTAATTATATAAATAATTAAAGATTGTATCTTACAAAAAAAAAATCGACTATAACTGTGACACAACCAGTTATTTTGTCATAAAAACTAAACTACTGAACCGATTTTGATGAAATTTCTATGGGACCAGTCTGTAAACACATCCTTTCAGTTAAAAAAAGAATTTTTAAAATCGGTTTATAACTAACGAAGTTACGTTTGGAGCGAGAAGGGATTGGTAATAATGGGGATTAGTATTTCCATTGCTAGCAAACACCCTGTCGGGTTGACATCCTCGCGGTTTTCCTGGAAACTATCCTTTTCAAGTCCAAGTGAATTCGTCTTGAAAGGGCTAACTGACTTGCCTTTTCATCCTCACCTATCATCCCTCACTGATGCCCCGCTAGCGTATACAGTTAGCTCAGGCAGTGTTACCATTCCATTATTATCCATTTAAAAAAAAAAACTAACGGAATTATGTGGTAACAAACGTAAAAAAAACACAACCGAATTGGAAACTTCCTTCTTTTTTTTAAATCGATTAAAAAAGGTGGTTTTTTACTAAATATTGCATTAAAAACGGTGAACAAATAGGTACCTATTGTTATTTATTACAATATACAAATAATAATTATAATTAGTACATACACAGATAAAGGAATGCCTTATTGTTTGACGGCGTGTTAGTCGTGTTGATGATACAGCTAACCGCGCGTGTTAAGGTCAACAAACAAACGCTATCGCGTTACCAACTACGATAACGGGCGCTGCTTGTAAATAATGGGTAATACACTATTTTTATTGCTGTGTAGTTATTTTGTATAGTGACGTCACAGGTCCTTGAAGATCCTGGCCTATTTATAAACTGTCCTCTACGCCGAGCCTAGTTTCTTCGATCCAAGCAGTTAAATTTGGCGGCCTCGTAAATTAAAATTATTGTTTACGGCACTGATGCTACTCAAATTATAAATGTAGTAATCATGTTTTTAGTCTTGCTTTATTTTTCAGATTTAATCTATAAAAACATTTTTTTTACTTCAATATATATTAAGATTTGATGGTCCCGATGTGCCCCGTGTCATTGTCAGCTAGGATCGGGTTTCTAATAATTCTTTTATTAATTAGTGACTATAATATTAAAATATAAAAAAAAACATAAAAACGAAAACAACTGCCCCCATTTTTATCACGGGATATCATAAATTATGTGATGTACAAAACGGTACATCAATAGGTACACAAATAGGACGTGAAAATCTTGCTTCTTCTGACAATAGCACAAAACAATTTATGTGTATATTATTATTGTTTGTGTGAGAGTGTGTATGTATGTGTCAATTATCCTCCGTCCATTATTATCCAGTACCATGTACCCTCACATTATACGACTGAACTCACTGATGACCTCTGGTGTAAATGACACATATTTATAACAAAGAACGAAAAGTAAGATGGATGAGTCACTCACTTGGTGAATGTAGCATACATAACGTCGATGGGCACACGATACGGCAGCGTCAGCACAGGCAGCACCGGGGAGAGGTAGCGGACAGCTCGTTGTCTCATCACCCAGTTGACTATACCGCTGTTCGCCGAGTCTATGGCGTTTTGGAATATTGTCATCACCGTGTCGGGTAGGTCGTCCACTAGTGCGTCCTAAAGCAAAATTATAAATATTTTTGTTCATATTTCAGAAATACAATAGTAAATACTGTCGAATAAGATTCTGCCTAATTCATCAATTACTTAACACCATGCTACTGCGGATTGCGGTGTGATCCCGGGATAGAATAGGTCACTCCTTCCTTTTCCGTGGGTGTCGCAAGAGGCGACTAAGACAGGCCGAGGGATGGAGAGCAGCCTCTCTCTTAAAACATCTCCAAGATTTTTTGCCCAATACTGGGCAAAATAGGGCAAGATAGAGGGCAAAAGAGGAAGACTGAGGATTAACTACATGGGACAGATAAAGGAAACACTAGGCGTCATGTCGTATAGGGAGATAAAGGATATGGCCTGGGATAGAGCTGGCTGGAGGAAGATGCATGAATTAGTTGCATCGACAAGAGGAAACTCTTAAATGAAGAGAGAGACTGGGACCATAATGTGAACTATAAATGGTGTTACACATTCAGTTAACCGACCTGCCTGTGAGTCTTGCACTCTTCACAATCCGGATCATACTCGTACGTGGTGTCATCTAGTACATCCTGCAACTGGAATGTGGACTGCACCGCCAGGCATCTGGTGCACGAGATCATATTGTTCCTGTGCAGGAACCGGAGGGCGTCATCGAAGCCCTGTTTGCACATGTTGCTTAGCACCTCTGGCTTTGGGGGGAACAGGATCCGAGCGAATCTGTTGATGTTCTGCTTCGATAGTTCTATGCTCGTGTTTGCTAAATTTACCTGTTGAAAAATTTATAACTTATATATAAATTTATATAATATTATATAATTATAACATTAGGCATCCAATAAGAGTACATAGTACATTCAACATTCATACATACATCAATAAATCTAAATGCATTAAACATAATATCCTGGTTAAATTTACCTAGTAGATTACAAATTATCTTTTATCTGTTTTTATTAACGGTATTACATTTATTATTATTACAGATTAATTATATACTACGTCATAATGGAAATATAATTATGAGTGAGTATTTGTAATAAATTCTTCTCATTCTTAGAAACTGTACCAGATAGGAAATGTTTAAAATTATATATTTACCAACTATAGTGTAACATTATGAAATACAAGGAACATCAAGTAAATTACGCATGGAGATTATACCCATTTCGCCACCTTACGTGAGCTTTATTCATGAGGTAAATATTTGAAATACTTTAGGGAAATAAGAGGTAAAAAAAAACTTGATATAAAATTTGACAAGATTTTGCCTTATCACTCCGCCATTTTATGCTAACGTATTCAAATGATCCCTCCTCGCCATTTAATAAAAAAAAAAGTAAATATAAGAAACAAAATAATATGCACTCACGTGAAACAGTTGCGAGCTTAAATCTCTAGGGCAGATATCACTCTCCCCGCAGAAGGGGCTAACTGTGATGGTATTCTCGTCTAATACCGGGAGGTTGTCGCTGAAACCGCCATCCATGTACCTAATGCCGTGGAACTGAGGCGGCAGCATCCCAGAGAATACTGGCACGAAGCAGGACGCTAGCAGTGCCTAATTAAAAAAAAAGAATATTAAAAATATTGGGAATTGACTGATTGATAGGAATATATTCAGTAATAATGCCTAAACTGATACTAAATAAAGGATTGCTTTACGTATTCATTTTTTTTTATTTTTTAGGTTTTGAGTCTTTGTTTCCAGCCAGTACCAAATTAACTGACTGTTAACGTTACGATCCCTTCTAGATAAGTAGCAAACAAATCTACTGATAGAATCGTTTGGGTCAGTGGTCACAGATGAAAGAACGAGACAGTGCACGTTGCCATCTCACTCTATCTCTGTAGCAATTACGATTCTAAAATTAAATTCAAATCATTTATTGCACGAATAAGGGTGCATATATGAAAATGAAAAGAAAATATATTGTTTTACAAGTCCATTATTCCAAATTCTCCCATAACAGTATGTCCAATGTAAAATTAATGTCAAATTGTTGTGTATTTGTAATAATAAAAATAATGTCACATTCTATCCTTAATTTCGTTTGCCATTTGTCTAGGCGGAAGCATATCCGAATGTAACCGTAAACTTATGTATAACGTTCAATATGTGGATACCATGGGCGAAACAGTATGCTCTGTCCATGATACTACTTATGTCTATAGGCGACGGTTACCACTTTCCATCAGGTGGGTCAGCTTATTTACCAGAGGGAGACTTTGTACAAAAGTCGATTGCTTGGGTACCTCTGTCCCATTCATGTTCCAACCGTGAAGCAGTTGTGATTACATGGCTGTGTTTCGGTTTGAAGGGTGGGATATGGCGTGAATTTACTAGGTACAGAGGCACAGACTCCTCAGAAATGGCAACGTATGGGGGGTATCATGGACGAAATAGTTTACTCTGTTATGTCCATGGTACGGCTCATGTCTATAGACAACGGTTACCACTTTCCATCAGGTGGACAGTCAGCTTGTTTGCCATTCTAAGTTGTGTAAAAAAATAATAATAATAAAAATGTTGCATAAAGAAAATTTTGTCTGGCCAATTTTGATTATTCATTTAATATAAAATTTGTAGCTACTTTAATTCATTCCCACGATAATTGGTCGAAATAAACTTTATTGTTTTTAATTATGCAAGTGTCATACGATCATATGCGTTGTAAGTACGTATTAAATATGACGCACAAAATTCGACAACTTCCAATACGGAAGTTTTAAATGCAATCAGTATTCGACCCGGGGATCGAAACGGCGGCCAAGTTGAAAGAAAACATTCTTGGTGCAAGGTCAACGAGGTCATCGAAACGTCACAATTAAATAGATAATATTTAATAGTAGCGAACAATGTTTCAGATATCGTAACCTTATCAACACTGTAGTTCTTTCACATTAAACAAAAGCAATTTGTTATATATTACTCTTTCATAAATCTTTATAAAATATACAAATTTATGGCCATTATAATAAAAAAAAAAATTGTAACTATTATTAAGAAGGTTAACACAAATGCCCATCAGTGGGATGTTTATCGATAGAACAGTGGAAATAGTAAATAAGGTAAGATTTTATTGTTCATTTGTAATGTACAAAGTCAAAAACAACATAACCGATTATAAAAAAATCTTTCACTTGTAGACAGATACATTACAAGCCCCTAACATAGGTTATGTATTATCCTCGTAAATTCTATCTACTCGTGCAAAGCCGTACCGAATAACTAGTATATTGCATATATAGTAGTATACGCATGGGGAGTATCACGGGCGAAACAGTATACTCTGTTATGTCCATGGTACTGCTCATGTCTATAGGCAACGATTACCACTTTCCATCAGGTGGGCCGTCAGCTCGTTTGCCATTCTAAGTTGTATATAAAAAAATATGTATAATAAAACAATAGTTATCGTCAAGAGGGAGCACGTGGATCATAACGTGACAATTTCATTACAGTAATCAAGTTCATAAATATGTTCCGGTCATCATGAGGTATTCTTTGTCGTAATGTATCTTTTGAGTACATTCTCAAGGACTTGAATAAGAGACATACACAGCACATGTTTTTAGCATAAGTGATTTTAACGATCGAATGAAGTGTCGAATTATTTTGTATCTAATGCTGCATCACGTTTAGTTTTGCAATTCATTTATTTAGAATACATCACTAAATAGGAAACAAAAATTCAAACTCAATGTTAGTAGTGATAGGCTTAGATTATATAAATAGAGCAACGAGTCTCAAAAACGGGTCAACTTTTTGTCAGCCAATTGTCAAATTAGCTGACTCGTTTTTTTTTTTTTGTAAGTATTCATTATACTTACGCATAAATGTATCTTGACATATTATTTAATAAATGAGTGTTTACGCATTATAAAGACGCAGAAATTATAAGACAAAATAAATATAGAAGTTATAAAGGGATCACTCATAACTATTTATCACACAAAATTGTATGAAAAAGTTGACCTGCTTTTCTCGAAGCAATTCTATGGAGACACTCTATCTATGTATATAATCTAAGTGATTGCGATACCACGACCTTTTGAAGACTTGTTTCGATTGATCTATCCATGTTATAGATATAAATCTCTGGATATCTGTGGATAAACTGTCTAACGTTTCATTGCTGAACATAGACATTTTGTGTCTACTCCATAATGGTATAAAAACACACGTATCTGTGATTCCATCACTGAAAAAATCCCAAAAAGTGACTTCATCGTGCAAGCCAATTTAAGTAATCGGACGCACCATCGAGCTTCTAAAATGCAATTAAATTGCACGTCTCAGATGCTAAAATTATCGTGTGTGCTACATCCCTAAAAGACTCTAGAATTTTCTATACCATTGGTACTAGTCTAGACTCTTATTGTTAAGACATAACGTGATTGCAACCAAATGTAGGTAGGTACCTAATACAATTTCACACAATTACAGACTTGATAACGTTGACGAAACTGTCACTGTTACAAATTGTTCCCGTGCGTGCTTTATCTATTTTTTTTCTATCCTAAATGACGAAATCTTGGTCAACAGTCATTAAATTGTGCCAAGCTAAATTCTGTATCTATAGTCATTCTCAAGTAAATGTGTGTAATAAATGAAACCACAAACCTGCATGAGATCTTCCCTGGTCGGGAATTCGGAAACGATGACGTTCTGTCCATCGTACACCCTCGTAAGTGATATGTGAAGCTTGCCACTGACGATCTTGTGGACATCTTGTGGCAGGTACCTCTCCAAGCCCTCGAGGAGGACATTCTGTATGTTGAAGGAAGGGCTGAAGGGCCCGAGTGAGCCTGCCCTCGCTTCGCCGACAACTCTCAAGACATCACTTGTGAGTTCACCTAAAAACAATATTCTAACGTAAATACGTATCATAAAATCGGTGACGACTCTGTCGGCAAGACATTTGGGTAATCTAAAAGTTCTAACCCAATTTACTGCATTTTTCAAATACGTATTTTGTTCATTTAAAAAAGCTATTAGTCATTTGTTCCACGCCATGTCACGATGGACGGACGTACGGTCTCTATTTATCTCTGGCTTTCAATAAAACATACAGAAGACCAGAAATAAGTAGACAAATGTCATTATCCTTTCGTTTTCCACTCTGATTTCATATCCTTAAAAGATAGTTCGTTGATTTTTATTATTGTTAATAAGAGTTTTGGGTGGCGCAATGATTGTTATGTTAGCCTGGCTTCGATTTTCAACTGGGTCAAATTAGGATTTTTTAATGGATGGTATTGGAATGGTAGTGAGACATCATTGAAGGGTCACAAGTGAAGATGGAAGCAGGTCAGTTGACTCATCAATAATTAATCACTAAAATTTCCAAGTGGGAATTGCGTGGTGGTCAACCCGATAGCGTATATTGCTAGCAATGGGATTGTTAGTCTCCATTACCCACAATCCTATGTCTCCCCGGTCAAATTAGGATAGGTATAAGGTGTTTCAGGCGCAGGTATGGTTTATCGCTGTAGATGATTGACATTCAGCTATTACACTATACCTACTGTATATATTCATTTTTTATTTGCGCTTTACAAAATTTGAAAAAAGCAGTCACCGAAACTGGTTTCTATGCAATAAAGGAATTTTGTAACTAGTACAAAGATGGACTGCATAATATGTACATAAAGATAGAGGCCGTTGAGATCGGATACGTTGTAAATAACTGGGCACCTTTTAGAAAACATGAGCGTTTCTCGCGTTCTATGCCCTTATAAATTCAATGTCTGTAAATCTATACGTCCTTATGTACCAGTTATTGTACTTGCATACTATTAGGATTACTAGGTTTACTTGGCAGGAGGAGACTACCGAATGTTACGTGTTAAAAACAAGGAACGTAGAATTATTTAGCTTAATTTAGGCACATTAAAATAAGAACTTACAATACGTAAGATATAAATTCAGAATTTATAAGAATAGAATATTTAATACTATCAACACTAGATAATATAAAAAAAAAAGTATAAATTTGCATGTTCAAAAATGTTACATTTCGATGGTAGAATACCAAGGCCCCAAAATCAATGCATCACTTAAGACAATAGAGCGACATAAGGACATAAGGGCGACGAAATCGTCTATTATGTCATTTTCATTTATGTACTTCACATTATATTAGGAGTGCATTTTTAGTTTTGAAGATCACTAATTTTAATCATCATAATCAACATCATAGCGGCAGTTAATTGTCCATTGCTGAACATAGACGTTCCCCAAAAAGAGATGTTTCGCCAGTAGTTGCCACGTTTGGGAGGAGGGTTGGCAAAAGCATTTAGGCTTTTAGTGATATTTAAAGAGTCCCTCGACTATTAAATACCCTTAGTGGCCTTTTACGACATCCACGGGAAAGGAAGAGGTGGCCCATTCTATGCCGAGACCACATGGCAATATCGTCTAGTAATTATTATTATATTTAGATAGAAAAGATGGATGAAAAACCCTTTGGATTGTGGGTTTTCTTAATGTGTGATAATGGAATTATAACACCGCTTGCGCTATCGATTTATATAGGCGTGGCACAAGTGAGGGATGATAGGTGAGAATGAAGGTAGAAAGCAGGTCAGTTGGACTGTCGTGATGAATACATAAGGAATTGAAAACATAAATTTCCTGAGAGAACCGCATGGAAGTCCTGACAGGGATTATTTCAAGCAATGGGGCCGCAAGTCGTCATTACTGACAATCCATTTCCCTCCAGCATATGGGGTATCATCCCTTTTACTAGAAATCATAATTGTTTACTATGGCAACAGTTCACAAATGCCTCTGGATTTTCTATTAGAGATTAGAGTTGTGAATATATTTTTTTATTAAGTGAATACTGAACTGTGACATTTGAATAGAAAATAAAAAAAAAAAACATAATGCACTCAGTGTTCTAATTTTAAACTACCAGCTTATTCTGGTTTATTATTCTCTTAAATATGTGACTAATTAATTGATCAAAGTAATTAGATTACTGCATATATATAGTTGAATGCTGTAAGTAGGTATCAATTAATATTTTCAAGTTCACACAGATATTGGTATGTCAGTTACCTAGCTTATCAGTTGGACAATTTGTAAGAGCTATAATAATTAGCATTGAGTATATAATAATTGGACTATGTAACCATTTATGACCTTATAGTGTCATGCACAAGTGAGATATATTTATAACATCTGTCATTCAAAATGCATGTTTATTGATTGGCAGGATAAATTGATGATGTAATGCTAGTGTTAATACATGGGTATCATAAAATTATTATCATCTTCATGCCCTATCTGGGGTCGGTGAAATATGTTTTTTTATTCATATTATACAAGGTATTTAGCTTTTATCTTTTTAAAAATAAAGTTGTAAATCCTGATTTGTTTTGTTTAATTTGTCGAGTCATTTTAAAGAATAACTACAAATTAAGTTTTGATTTACTGTATGATTACAGTAATTACAATCTGTACTGTGTTAGCAATTCCCAAAGTGGGTTTTGTAAAAGTCTCGAGTGATTCAACAAATTAATGAAATTTGTAACTAATCATATATATACTGCATAAATATGTTTATTAAAAATATTGCTAAGAAGTTAATTTAATAATATTAAACCACTTCTTAGGGCACTGACCACAACTGGTGTGGTTTCAAAAATATATATCTTTTTATTTATATTTTTATACTAGCCTTTTGCCTGCTACTTTATTTGCATAGATTTTAGAAATAGACCCAATGATATTTTTGATGGTATAACAAAATAAACTATACCTACATCAGTTTTTAATTTCATCAGTAAGATAGGATTTATTCTTGTTTTTTTTTTTATTTAAGTATATAATAACACAATAATAAAATTTGTTATTTTATAACAAAATACTTAACAATTTATAAGACCAAAAATAATTAATCAATAGAAAAATCTCATTTAAGTATCATAATAATTTTTGTTTACTAACATTCATGTGAAGTTCCCTAAAATATAAATAATTTACCCAGTGTTCCATAGCTTTAAAAATTTATATGTAAATTAATTTATTATATAAAAAAGCTGTTGTATCGGCTCCTTTATATGACAAATCTTAACTTATTATTGTTCAAACTTAGCAAGTATACTATTTTTTTTTTATAATTAAATCAAACATTGAAAACAAAAGATTTATAATTACCTACCTATACTAGCAGCTGTTATTCGGATATGAATTTGAATAAAATATAATATTTATAGTATACCTAATAATGACTTTACAATTATGAATTACTAATTAGTAATAAAAAAAGTATTCAATATTATTATTGCATTAACTTTTTTTGTTTAATTCCACAAAAACAAATTGCTTAGCAATAAGACCACATTTTGTACTACACTATGCTTATTGAAAATCATTCAATAAGATCGGTGCAATAAAGTGTTAATATATAAATAAGCTTGCAATAAAAAATAAACAGAATTATGAAACAATGCAGAAATATCTTGCGCTGATCATCTTAGATGAAGAAAAGTTCGTTTCAAATTAAGAGAATAGATAGAACAAAGGATTTAAATTAAATTACATGCTACTAGAGAACAAGCTATGGTAATATTTGCTACTTTATATTATAAAAATAATATCTCAGGATTTTAAAATACTTTAATCTCATAATTATATAAAACTATTTAAAAATATTAATAAAATCTCATTTTTTTATACAAATTTCGCCAAACCTTTGTTGAATGGATGATTATATAATAGGACTCTTAGAAAAATATATAGTTTGTAGATTTGATATTTTTAGAGAGTTTATGTTAATTTAGTGTAATATAGTTTAAATATATAACATATAAATAAGATACAACCCTTATAAATACAAAAACAATAATATTGAACCTTTGAGAAATCAACAAGTACCTACATTTTTCATTATTGTAATATAAAATAGTGCATCTTTTATTTTTATTTCTACATAAAGTATGTGACTACAATAAATAGTAAAAAAAAAATAACATACCGATAGGCAGATCACACAATAGGCAACAGGCAGAGAGAGCGCCAAAAGAGGCGCCAGATATTTTTCCCAGTAGCAAATGTGGGGCATATTTTTTAAAACACACTGCTACACCCACATGGTAGATCCCGAGGAAACCACAACCAGCGAACGATAAGTTCATTATAATTTATATCACATCAAAACATTCACGTAAAAATAAGGTAAACACGACCGTCTTCTTTTACGTACGTTTGAATGATAGTACGAACACGACAGAAGTTCAAATTAATATGCAAAAAAATTATAGGTATTCATAAATCAACACGATAAGATTAGAATAATCACAAAGTGATAAACTGTTATTATTTATAACTCGATACCCGTATAGGTTTTTAAAAATAATAATAAACAGAGCACACGTCTTATCTTCGTAGTCGTTGTTGTTGTTTTATTATATTTTGATTCCTTGTGATGACAACTTTAACAGAACAGCAGTGAACATAGTTAGCATGGTTGAAATGTCAAGTAATTGTTAATGTTTTCAGTCAAGTGCCTAGTAGAAGTCATATGTCAATCATAAATCTGTTCTTTGTATTTAACAAACCTGCTCGCGGCACGTCACATTGAACAAAAAGCGATTGTATAAATCCTATGCAATTAGTTTACTGAATTTGAAAATATTATATCATAAAATAGCTCAAAGAAGATTTTACAATACATTTCATAATTAATTAAAATAATTATTCTATGCACATCCATATTTATTTATATGTGTATGTATATTTATTTATAATTATATTTAAGTTTTGTATACAGGGTAGAAGGACAGGTTGGCTAAAATGAAAACAGCTGATTCAGATGAATAACCTGAATCAGATGGTAGATTATTTACTCAACGGAGATGTAATACAGTCTATCTAATTAATGATTTTTAGTTTTGATGCCGCGCAATGTGTTTGAAATTTTACGATACACACGACGCGTAATACCCACAGCACACACTCGACGGAGCTTCTTCGTAGGTAGTTTCGTACACTTGTGGCGTTGACACACACACACACACACTTTAATACGATTATGATGTAGGATTTTAATACGAATATGACATTGCTATTTTTTGATATTTCATAGTATTTCTCTATAAAATGTTATTATTTCTTTACATATTGTTATAAATCACTTGAAACTTGATTTTAAATGAAAATAAAAACAGGAAAAACAATATTAAAATTTTCCCGTAAATTTCAACTGGGTTTCAAGTTAGAATAATGGTCTAAATTCACTATTTCAGTTTTTATATTTCAAATCTGCAATACTTGAACCTGAGTTTAAGGGGATTAAATTATAGCGTGTTTTAAAACACAGCGCCATCTACATAGTATGAATTAAAACAAATCAACAATAATTATCACACAAATCCGCACAAATCATTACGTAAACCTAATTAATCCCTTTGTAAGGTACGAATACAAAAATATATAAAGTCACCAGAGGGAGACTTTGTACAAAAGTCGATTGCATGGGTACCTCTGTCCCATTCGTGTTTCAACCGTGAAGCAGTTGTGTTTGCATAGCTGTGTTTCGGTTTGAAGGGTGGGATATGGCGTAAATTTACAGGGTACAGAGGAATAACATCTGAGTCCTCAGGAATGGCAACGCAGGGGGGGTATCATGAGCGAAACAGTATACTCTGTTATGTTCATGGTACTGCTCATGTCTATAGGCAACAGTTACCACTTTCCATCAGGTGGGCCGTCAGCTTGTTTGCCATTCTAAGTTGTATAAAAAAAAAAAAAAAGCAATCAATTTATAGATACCTTGTGACGCTCTCAACACTACTGCACTAAATTGGATGCGATTTTTGTAGCGTGTTCGTCTTAAATGTCTAATTAATTTGAAAATTGATATATGTATAAATAGTTTATTCAATGGTTTTCTTACTTTTAACATCTACACACAATCTAAACACTTTAGATTTCCCCCATAAACTGCTATAAGGAACGACCCTGCGTCACCTTTATGATATGCAACGCACACAAACACATACTAAGAAAACATAGTTTATATTAAATGTGAATGTACCTTATGAGGGAAGCCTATATCTAACAGTGGACAGTTAACGACTGATACAACACAAATGTAAATGTACAATAAACTTATACAAATAAGTAAAATAGCTAATCCTTTAATAATAGCCAACTATATCCAAATTATAGATAGAAAATTATTAAATATTTATATAACTGTTGGTATTTAGCTTGAGATATCAGCTAATATTTCTATAGTGAAAGGGAATGGGATAAACACAATATAAAAAGTACGATAGAGATACAAGAGCAATTACAGAAAAAAACTTATTTCTAACATTAACAATAAATATTCATTTATTTTATGTTAATATTTGAAGGTGGATGCATAGGATCATGTTCCAGTATTGTCAAAATAAGGGCAGTGTCGATTTTTGTAAATTACTTGCTTTATTTATTGCTGAATCCACATATTATGATGGCTAAATAGGCCTTTAACCAGTTTCTTTAGTCTGTGATTTTGAAAATTTTGTTAGAATTTTTATTCATAATTTTGTGTGCGAGTTTGCTAAAATTGGATCTTAATGTATTACGATAATATAATACTGAACTAATAGTAGGTATTATAATCATTTTGCAATAATTCGAACAATAATATATCAGTTTATATTTATCAATAAACGGGATAAGCATTATTATAGGTAATTGTAAAACAAAATGACTCGACATGCACGGAATTGTACAGCTGGAGCCGTCTACACCTACCATGAGAAGAAAAAGGACGCTGCAGCCTCTGGTTACGGAACACAGAGTGAGCGAGTCGGCAAAGATTCCGTGAAGAACTTCGATTGTTGCAGCTTAACTTTACAACCTTGCAGGAATCCAGTCGTCACTAAAGAAGGTTACTTGTTTGACAAAGAGGCTATCTTGGAATACATAGTTTCGAAGAAGACAGAATATACGCGAAAGTTGAAGAACTATGAAAAACAATTGAAGAAGGAGGATGCAGAGAAAGCTGAGTTAGCAGCAGCAGAGAAAGAGGCAAATTTGATTAAATTCATGAATAGAGAGAAAAATATATCCTCTAATAGCACTTCTAAGTCTTCGGCATCTCCGTCCACTTCTAACTCGGTTTCCAATTTGGCAAATGGCAAAGACAAGGAACTTCCTAGTTTTTGGGTGCCATCTCAGCTTCCTGATGCTAAGGTGTCTAAACTTGAGAAACCGGATTCAACAGTGTACTGTCCTATTAGTGGTAAGCCATTGAAGATGAAGGATCTAATAGAAGTGAAATGGACTCTAGTAAATGATCCTGATGACAAGAAATCACTTATAGCCAAGGAGAACAGATACATGTGCCCTGTGACACATGACATCTTGAGTAATGCAGTGCCTTGTGCTGTTATCAGGTGAGATAAATATCATCAATCATATCAGCCTTTAACTGTTCACTGCTGAACATAAGCCTTAAGGGGTTTTGCCAGTAGTTGCCACACTTGGCAGGTGGGCTGGCAACCGCAGTTAGGCTTTAGATATGTTTTAATAGGGACGCTGCTGCTCATCTCTCACCCTCCCTTAGTCAATTCTTACCACACCTATGGGAAAAAAGGGGTAACCTATTCTATGCCATAATCATATGGCAAGAGATTTGTATTGTTTTTTAGTTTATACCTGATATAGTTATTAATATGCTGTATAATAATATTAAGTGTGTATTTTATACACCTTTGCTACTTGATACTTGTCAAAGCCATAATGTCTCAAATAATAGTAGCCTATCATTCCTACCTGTGTCAGGAGCATGCACTAAGAGATTTTCAGCTTTTATAAAATAACTAAGGTCTGGCAGTTATGGGCTCTTAGACTATAATTTATACACATGAACTGCACTGTGATGTTATAGAACACTAGATATTTCATGCTACTCCTTATCCCTTTCAGACCTGAACGATACGGGTGTGAGTTGTAACTTTAAAAAATTCTAAAACCACAGGCAATTCATTTTTACACACGAAGCTGAAATAACATGATAGTGAGATTTTAAACCAGCCAATAAGAAATCATTTTAGCAGTTAGGTGGTGCAGTAGTCTCGTGCGTGCCGGCAATATGGCTTGACTCCAAAACACGAAAATATATTTAATCTGAAAGAAAAAATCTTGGGTCTGAAAGGGTTATGCATTGTCATTCCTAAGGATTAAGGTGTTGTTAGTTGAACCATTTATTTACCAAGAGATAACCATTAGCATCCCAATCTCAATCCTATCAGCTAATAGCTGTCCACTGCTGAACATAGGTCTCCCCCTTAAGGTTTTTGCCAGTAGTTGCCTCACTTGGAGGATGAGTTGGCAACCCAAGTCGGACTTTGGTGATGTTTTAAGAGGGATGCTACTGCCCATTTCTTGCCTATTAAGTTCCCTTAGTAACCATTTACAACACTCACGAAAGTAAAGGGTGGCCCATACCACAGGGCAATATTAAATTAATTTTCAGGATGCTAAGCCCTTTAATACAGATGCATAATGTATTCTTAGCTACAAACACACACACTAAGAAAGCTGTAAATTAAATATATAATTTTCAGAACAACTGGCCATGTTGTCACAATGGAATGTGTCGAGAAGATCATAAAAAAGGACTGGCTCCATCCTCTGACTGGAGACAAGCTGAAGGAGAAAGACATCATACCAATGCAACGAGGAGGCACTGGTTATGCCCTCACCAACCAGAATTTAGAAGGGAAGAATGAACGGCCTGTTTTACAAGCTTAAAGTTATTTAAGTACCTGATAGTCTAATAATTTTAAACAGAAATGGATCTTATTTTGTTAATGATAAGGTGCAATGGAGTTAATTAAGAATATACAAGTGTGAGACATGATGAGAATTTAAGAGAGTAGTGGATATTTATCACAAGATTGTGAATTTGATCTTGTGTCTGGTGTTAAAAATTAGGTCATTTAATAAATTATTTTGGAAAAATTCAGAATTAATTAACATCAATCTTTTTTATCTTTTTAATGCGATTTTAGCATTATTAAATTATCTATAATATAAAAATGAATCCTTGAATGTATTGCTAAGGCAAATCTCGAGAACCGATTTCACTAATTCTTTTTTAAGAATATTCCTAGAAGAACGAAGATGGTTCTTACATAGAAAAAAATTTAAAAATTGCCTGAAAATGTCTAAAAACAACAATTCTACATTCCCATTCAAACGATTCATAATGACACTTAAAAGACAATTTGAACTTTAATACCATACCATAAAGTTCAAATGTTAGTAGAGGTCGTGGGAAGACAAAACAATTGAATGACGTGGCATGTGACACATATTGCCTTACTACTGCAAAAATAAATCCAATATTGTAATTACCTGTTTCTTATAATTTTAATCATTTGCCATCATTACAACTGCAGACTAGAAACTGGAAACACTAAAAATAAAATAAAACCCTTCTGATTTGGTAATTATATTTGCATGCCATATGCCATGCCACTAGTCTTTGTAAGTAAAAATTATTAAACTATAAACTGATAAAACACTTATACTTAATTATGTAAATTAAGTCCTATAATTCTGTCACTATCGACAATCAGAACTTTCCAATATCAGCATTGCCACATTTGATTCTCTTTTTATAAAATTCATTATGCATTTTGAAAATAAATATTACTTATATATGTTTTTATTAAATGGCATTTCAGATGAATCCCTTTATTTTTAAATCTTAATTGCATACCCATCTTATTCATATTTAGCGTAATAAATTGATTTTAAGTATGTAAGCATATATGCTGTACTAGCATGCGAAGTCAAGACGGGTGGCTAGTTAATAATAAATTATATCTTGTTTGGTCTGCTAAGTTTGAAACTAGATTGGGCTACATAATATGTCCAAAGTTATTATTACAGAATTTTCCTTTTATTTATTATACCACTAAAGTGGCTCATAAGCATACAGCCCACCTGATGGTAAGCGGTTTTTTTTTGATGGGTGAAAATGGAATGGTAACCTCGCCTGCGCTAACGAGATACGCTGGCGGAGCACCAGTGAAGGGTGATAGATGAGAATGAAAACAGGCCAGCTAACCCATCATGATGAATTCATCAGGAATTAACCATGATAGTTTCCAGGGGGAACCTCGAGGAGGTCGACCTGGTTGGGTATATTGCTAGCAATGGGATTCTCAGTCTTCATTACTAACAATCCCTTTCCCCCCGATGGTAAGCGGTTACCGTAGCCTATGAACACTTGCAATACCAGGGGCATTACGCGTGTGTTTGCGACCCTGAAGAAACCTCTTTACCCTTGGGGGAAAGGGATTGTTAGTAATGCGGATCAGTCACATTGCTAACAATATAAACTGTCAGATCGATCTCTAGAAACCATCGTGCCTGAATTCCAGGTGTACTTATCACATGGGTTAACTGACCTGCCCTTTCATTCTTCACTGGTGCCCAGCCAGTGTATACCGTTAGCACAGGCGGGTTACTATTTCATTATCCATTAAAAAAAAAACTTTTTATTCCTTCTTTGAAGATGTCTCTTGAAAAAACCTCAACAGGAAGCTCACTACATAACCTGAACGTTCGCGGGAGGAAACATCTCTGAAACTCCGTCGTACGTGACTATCTAGGCTCTAAGCGCTGAACTCCTTGTCGATGGTGGGCTGTACGATGATAGGAAGTGGTCAAAAATAAAGAATTTTACTGTTCTATTATTTATATATGTTGTAAACAAAAACTACAAAATGATAATATATCTATATTTTGTTCTAATTAAAAAATAGTATTAAATATAATACATATACATAATTAAATACATTTATTCAATTTACTATGAATTATGAAATGCAAATAAATCTAATTGAAAATCAACAGTATTATTTTTAATATCAGTCTCAGGGTAGGATAGGCACTCATTACCTAAGGACTCCAAAAAGTTCAATACTGATTGACCTTGGTCTGTTTGTAACCGATTGTCACTAGACAAGTGGTCGCTTTGGCTTACACTATTCAGAGGCAATTTATCTAGATGATCATCTTTGACGTGTATTAAACTTGGTTCTATTAGACCATCTGATTTCATATAATTGTCCGATTTTCCATCCGAAGAATCCATTACCCAATCTTTAGCTGTATGAAAATTGATATCATTTGTCACAACTGGCTCTTTACATGATAACTCTATAAAACTATCATCCCTTAATAAGTCTTGAAGGTCACAATTTTCATCTGCATTTGATTGCATTGCAATATCTTGTGGTTGGGTCGTCTCATTTTGTTCCTTATCTAGATCTAGAGGTCGTATCATTTGTACTCTACTGTATTGGGCAATTTTTTCAGGATCAATTTGAAACTTATTGAACACAGCCGCTGAAGGCTTTATAGGTGACGACCGTATATCGAAATGTGTGCTATGAAACTGTGTGTGGAGACCTTTTTTATTTTTCATATCTACTATAGTATTGGACTCCTTTGGGACTGTATCATCATTATTTTTATCATTGCTTATACTACTATTATCTAATATATTTATAGATTTAGGAGAAATCCTTATTGCACTTTGTTCATTTGGTGCATTATAGTTTATGAAATCTTCCATTCCCAACTCGATAACTGTATCACTCTCTGAAGACATTCTTATTCTTTTTGCTTTTAGTTCTTGTGATTTCTGCTGTTTCAGTTTCCATATCCGCTTACTGGCTGTGGGCCATTTATCAACTGCATTTATTCTTGCACAGTCGTCAACTTCATTCTCTGTATTAGCAATTTCTTCATTATGCTTTGATAGCCAAAGCTGTGAAGGCTTGCTTAGGTCTGCATTGAATTGATTCGGTTTTGGGGGAGGGTTGTGCCTACAAAATCCATCTTTGTCTTTCACGCAAGTGAGTGCGTCCATTGTAAAGTTGTATTTTCCAGGGTTCATGCCAAATAACCTGAAAAAAATTAACAATTAATTAAATTTCAATAGTATTATTTCTATTGATAATATTTTTTAATACATTTTTTTATTATCCCTGTGCTTTCCTTCCATATTGATTTTTTGCAGCACCAGTAAACAAGCTGATGGACTTGATCTAATAGCAAGTGATAATTATCATCTTTATAAACATAAAAACATACATATCACTATATATATGTCACAAATGTGATAGTTAACAAAAAAAATGGATGATTGTTAATTATACAGTTTTTTTTTATGAATAGTAATAGAATGGTAAGCCCGCCTGCACTAACGGTATATGCTGGGGGTACATCAGTGAGAGATGATAGGTGACAATGAAAAGGCAGGTTAGTTAGCCCATCGTAAAGAATAGACCTGGAATTCAGCACGATAGTTGCCAGGGGGACCCACTTAGAGGTCGACCTGCCAGGGTATATTGCTAGCAATAGGACTGGTAGTCTGCCTTACTAACAATCCCTTTCCCCCCACACAAACAGTTGAAGGGATTTAATATACGATTCCTATATCCTAACGCAGGTAAAGTTACAAATTACAACTAGTAGGCTTAGTACAGCCATGTTGGTGATACATACTTGCCAATATCGTCATTGACTGTACACAACTTCCCTTCGCAACCGTCAATCTTTTTGAGCAAACAAGGCAGCAGTGATTTGATTTTTTCTATAAGCTGCTCCAACTGTTGAATGAAGATGTTAGCTTGATCTTCTTCAGACCCACTCTTGATGATGGCCAGTAGACAGTGGAATAGGTTGGAGTGGATCTTAGCAGGTATATGGGTAGGATGATTTTCATAATGTTTTTGTAGTCTGTACAAACTGCAGAATTCCTGCAACAATAACAGTTATATAGCATGTGTATTATAATGTGTTATTAATGATAAAATCGGCTTCATTCGATCTAATTATTATAGGACTATAATGAATATAACCGCCTTTTTTTAAAAAAGAATCATCAAAATCGCTTCATGTCTGACAAAGATTTTTTCTTCCCCATCGCTTATTGGTTCTTCGAGCTATGTAACCAACCCATTGTGACTTCAGCTTGTTTGTCCTTCGGGCTATGTCGGTTACTTTGGTTCTTTTGTGGATATCCTCGTTTTGGATCTATCACGCAGAGACTCCGAGCATAGCCCTCCCGTAAGTAGATTAGCATGTACTAATAATACAAAAAGCCATGTAGGTTCTGGTATAGAATAAGAGGCGACCACAGAAGCTTATGGTGGAGCGATGGCCAGCAACGACCATCTTAAAACATTACCAAAAGTCAAACTGCAACTGCCCTCCCCCCCCTATGAGGGAGGCAATGTTCAGCAGTGGACAGTTAAGCTTAAGGTTAAGTTAAGCTTAAAGTTACAACAATAACAAAAAAAGCTTAGATGTATTTAGAGGGGGAGTCAGTTGGACTGTACGGGCCGTGGCCATCCCAGAATCATCTGGTGCCCATCTTAGCGTGCGAGCGAAGCTTCGTAAAGACATGTCTGATAGTACATATGCGCCTATTTCAAGGGTCCTGGCCCTCCCTCGAAAATAATCATAAATATGCCAATTGCAAAATGTCTTTGGCACATTGTTCACTACTCCGTAAAAGGTTTGACCTGAAGTGACTTACTGTAGAACATTGGAAGCAAGACACAACAGTGCCACTCTTTTTCCTCGGCTTCTGTGGTGCATTCTCGGGCACTATTTGCTTTGGAAATTTGACTTTTCTGCCACTTCTTGTAACTTTGGTCTGTAAATATATAATAGACATTTGTATAGTAAATTTGCCGTGAGGTCTGGGCTTAGAAGAAGCCACTTCTTCCTTTTCCGTGAGTGTTGTAAGAGGTAACTAAGGGAGAACGAAAAATGGGCATCAGAGTCCCTCTTAAAATATCACCGAAAGCTTAATTGCGGTTGCCAATCCAAGCGTGGCAACTATTAGCAAAATCCTCTTTGTGGGGAGATCTATGTCCAGCAGTGGACAGTTAACGGCTGATATGATGATGATGATGATACAAAATTTCATAACATTTGTAACAAACTCATTTTCACATTTTTCATTTATAATATTTCTAAGGATTACAATTGTTTGTTTGGAGGGAAAGGGATTGTTACTAATGGGGTCTAATTCATACATTCTTAGCAATATACCCTATCTGGTCGACCTCCACGTGGAAAAACCTCCTCCCTGGAAACCGTCGTGATTAATTTTAGTGGAATTCGTAACGACGGGCTAACTGACCTGCCTTTTCATCCTCACCTGTCATCCCTCACTGGTGCCCCAGCAGCGTATCCCGATAGCGCAGGCGGGGTTACCATTCCATTATCACCCATTAAAAAAAAATTGTTTTATAATAAAATATTTTATTCTATCTCTTAGTTATCAGAACGAGGCTCGTCCACCCGTGAAGGATTCCACCAGCCACACCATAAGTGAAACGTATGAAGAGATGACCTTAGTGCTACCGGAGGGGATGATTTGCCGCGAGTATGACACTGCGTTGGATAGTGACAAGCACTTCTTATAAGTATTATATTAATGTAAACAGCAGAATAGAGTAGTAAAACATATTTGTAATGTACATACATACATACATATCTGTCACGCCTATCTCCCATTAGGGTAGGTAGAAACAATGGAACGCCAAATGCTTCGATTCAAACAAACCTCTTCCGCTTCTTCCACATTAATGTAATGTATGTATGTATGTAATGTATATGTAATTAATATATGGACACGTTTTGTAAAATAATACGAAACATTCTATAAGCAACTTTAACAGATAAATTTCAATGGAATATAATGGATTGAGCTCCCTGTCGAGGTTTTTCCAAGAGATTACAGCAGGTTCTTCAAAATGGGGGTAAAAAGGTTTCTTCAGGGTCGGCAACGCGTTCATAGGCTACGGTAACCGCTTACCATCAGGTGGACCATATTCAATTCAATAAATACTTGACTTTCATTGAATAAATACTCACTTCCACTGGCGTCCCATGTTCCTCTTCTTCTGATTCTTGTGTGGGCAACGGTACTTCCTTCTCTGGTTCGATTGTAATCTTTTGCACCTTTTTCACTTCTTTCTTGACTTCATCCTTCTTATTTTTAATAACAAATTTATTCTTGCCAACCACTGTTAAATCTTTTGGAGATACAACTCTAAAATAATTTAAAGAATTTTATTAATAACTATCCCACTAGGCTTTGCAGGGGTAGGTATTTTTTTGTATTTTGATGGGTGAAAATGGAATGGTGACCCCGCCTGCGCTAACGGTATACGCTGGCGGAGCACCAGCGAAGGGTGATAGATGAGAATGAAAACAGGCCAGTTAGCACATCATGATGAATTCATCAGGAATTAACCATGATAGTTTCCAGAAGGAACCGCGAGGAGGTCGACCTGGCTGGGTATATAGTTAGCAATGGGGTGGCATGAGTAGGTAGAATTTTTTAAATTAATACATAGTCACAAAGGCTGTATATTATTATACTTATAACTCGACAGTAGCATTCTATAGGTGAAAATATTTTTAAAATCAATTTTCGAATTTATCCATTACAAACAAACAAACAAACAATCTTTCCTCTTTATAATACTTGTATAATTAAAAGAAAAACTGAAAGTGTAAAACTTTTTCTGTATTTACATCATATAGTAAGCTCTTAGCATCAGGCTAGATGTATGGTTGTCGGTGAATTTAATAGTAAGGAACAACCAGTGTAGCACACTCATTAAATTTAATTATAAACATCTTTGACATTATTTTTTTTATGAATCTACATAGTTTTTAATTGGAATGCAATTTCAGTTACAAAGAAAGGGCAAGAAACTCAGTTATTGCTTATATAAAACAAAAATTTAGTTTTAAAAATTGAATTACTACAACAACAATCAAATAATCAATTGCTTTATCTATTTTTTGTATGTCTGTGGGACCCAGTAGGAGAAAGCCTTTTACACTGTGGTATTTAAACTGTAAAAGATATGTAAACAAATAATAGTATAGTACTAAATGCAGCCTGTAAAACAAGAATATTTATTTCTTACTGAACATACTTATGATGTTACCTATAATTACTACATACTTACTTGTATATAAATCGTGTGTTTGTTACTGGATCATAGGTTGGTTCTACAGGTATTTTTTCTGGATCACTAAATATTTTCAACGCTTGGTTGACCATCTTCATCTGTTCATCGCTCAGTTGATTAAGGCTGCAACATGATATTACAATATTTTTTTGCATTTTGCATTAAGTATTTGCTTACATCTTCATCAGACACACAAAGCAGTGATTTATTAATTTGTCTAAAGGTGTCTTGTATAGAAATAAAATACGCATCGCAAAATGAGTTTGGTAAATTTAAGAATTTTATAAAAAAAATACTATTTTTTTGGGGCTATTGCCAAATCAAACTCAAGGTTCATTTGATCATGTATGAGTATGAGTACTGTGTACTACACGTCTTAATTCGATGTCTAGTTAACATTTACTACAACTCTGAATGTAGGAAACAAACAAATACAGAAAACTTCAATTTACCCTAATTGGGGTTTTCATAATAATGGACATTATATTTAGACATGTATTATAAAGTATATACACACAAAAGGAGAATATTGTGTACAATGAATTATGAATTTTCCAAAGAAACCAGAAAATAATCCATTTAATCAATTACATATTATTTTTTGTTATTTTTAAATCCTTGTTTCTTTTGGAAAAATGTTCAGTTTCACTAGTAGAATATGGTATTGATTTTAAACTTCATGTTGCTGCAATGGAATATTGTATAATAAATTATTTATTTACCTGTGATATGTTTCGCCTAGTTTCAATAACTGAACTGATGTGTGTTTAGGCGGAGTGGGGCTCGGTGTGCTGCAAAATACATTAGATTACATTTTATTTAGGAATAACTAAAATCGAAAATTTTTAATTATCCCTGTGGATTAGCATAGAATAGATATAGTCTTTATTCAAATAAACTTGTTTATCTCATCCTTAAACCTTAAAATCGTCAACTTTTTATGATTGTACTGCAGGGTTTGGGATGTTGTTATCTGCTAAGAAAAAGTCGTAAAAAACTCAGCAGTTACTCTTTCCAAATTATTAATTACAAGATAATTTTACATTTGTATTTGTACTGTGATTTTAATTAGCATTAAATTAGCACACACAAGTAGCACTTGTTCACAAGTATGATGGACGAGTCAGTCATCATAGTGGTCAACCATATTTTAGGGAACTCAACAACCTGGCCCATCACACCACCATCAGTTAAGGCTTTATAGTGAGTTGAGTACAAATTATGTCAATGCATTGTCTATGTGATTATCCATACTACTAGTGTATACTATTAATGCAGGGGCCACCTATTATCATTCCATTAGCATTCGTTTAAAAAAATATTTATAATAAGTGACTGAGTGTTTTTTTTTTAATTTAAAAAGTTATACATAATTACAAATTTTGCCAAGATTCAATCTTGGCAACACACTTTACACATAATATTTATTTACTTATTAAACACATAGAAATATTAATCTATTATATTTTGTTTGAATACAACAATTTGTGAGTAATAAATACAATACAACACACATGTTCATTTAAAAGAACTTATAAGAAGCAAATAGTAAAATGAAACATAAGTGTTAAAGAAAGACCAAACTGGCTGGGTACCATTAGACCCATCACTACATGTGTGCTATAATTTCAAATAGCTGCATTTTTGTTGAAAAATAACTACCATGAGTCATACTGTATTATTAAATATTTATGTTAGCTTTACTCGGGTTTTAAATTAAATTATAGACAGTGCTCATGAATAAGGGCTCGTATTAAGTTCAAAAATTAGTTGGGCACACCTGAATTTAAAATATGAGAAAAGCCAACATATATAATACATACTGCTGCATTTTTTTTTTATTTTTTAATACAATTACATACAACATTCATATCACAGCAATTATAATTTTTACTGTAAATATCATTCACCTTTTTTAGATGAATAATGGATCCTCTGCTTTTGTTAATTGTTTACAATTGCAGATTAGTTACTTATTAAAACTATATGATTTAATTAAGTTACAACATACTTCTCTTTTGGTTTTATCTTTGACAATGTTCTTTCTTGTGGAGGTTTGAGAGCATTTGTGAAGTTTTTCATTTTAACTATTTTCCTTTCAACTGTCACTTTTGGCACCGTGTTTACTACTGTAGTAACAGCAGTGGGGGTCGTCGTCACCGGCTTGAACACTATGTTGTTGATTGGTACATATTGTTTGTTTGTCTGAACATTTTTAGGCAACAAGAAACTTGCCAATTTCAAGTTGTTCCCCACTTTGTTATCTTGTTTCTTGAGAATCCGAGGTTTGGATATATTGACAACATTATTTGCAATGTTGTTTTCTAAAATACCACTGTTCTCGTAAAATCTTTTTAGGTTATCGCTGACTGGTTTTTGTTCTTCGATGGTATTTTGTGTCACAACATACGACCTCCCCTGCAAGTTGAACAATAATTAATCAATTTGTATGAACACTTTTGATCCTCCAATAAATAGATAAACAAAAATGCTATAATTACCTGTATGGCGCCAGGATTTTGTACCAAATAAACTGGTGTATATTGACAACTATCAATGACGATATTTTCTTGTGACGTAGCCATATTTCATATATTGCTAATTTAATTACCGAAATGCATTTCAATACAGTTTATTACGATAATTTATAAAAAATACTACAAATTATACGACAAACAATAACTATTGACAAATTGACACACAGCACAGATAAGAATAATGACTTAGATCTAAAGCACACACAAATATAGTTTGTGTTACCATATTTGAAATTTTATGATGTCATTATTTTTCTTCTTAGTCTATGAATCATAATTATAGAAAAACTCACATTTATGCAGTTTATCTTGCAAGTTGCAATGTCGTTCTTATACTAAATCAAGTTGCTATAGCATAGCAAAATAGGTAATTGAATATAAGGATAGCTTAATAAGCTCATAATAAAACTCATATGAATAAATATCATGTTATTTTCATGTACTTAATTTATTTTTTAATCACTATCACCAAATTTATATTTTAAAAGAGATATTTTGTTTACATGTGAACAATTCCTTTAATCATAAATATATTTTTAAATTGGCAACTTCTTTTCCTTTTTGGCCTTAAACAAACCAGTGATGTGCGTCTTACTGATTTTAAATCTTTGTAAAAATAATAATTTTTATATCGATTCTAAGACTGACATTAGTACTAATGTGTTTGAAAAGTTATTCACGTACTTCATATATCTGAAACAAAAATTTTCTCAATTGGCTTCTGAAGCTTATTTTATATTTAAAATAATAAATCTTTACGTATTTAATAATTTTTCAAAAAAGAATGAAACGATAAAAAAAGACATATATTTAAGATAAACATGTTATTAGAGTCTATTTTAATAAAACTTGTTAAACGTGATCATAAACTATTGCTAATGTCCAATAGTAGTGCAACGAAAAACGGTTAATTAGTTGATAGTGTATTTTTCTGATAATTCCAATTTTTTTCATTAAATTTTATTAAAATAAACTGTAATATACGATTAGCGCAAATATATTTTTAAATCATGTGTGTCGGGTATTGTGACGTATCTATAAATATTTGAGACTGAATTCAAGTTTGCATGATTCGACTTTGGTACATCACTAGCCAAAACTAACCTCTTTTTCTATCCGTCAAGCTTTGCAACACAAGGTGATTATACTAGAAAAATAATTAAAATTGTGAAAAATACAATAAAATTGTATGTTTTACGTATTTGCAGTTGTACTGTACCATAATTAAAATATAGCAATATAGTTTGCTTCTATATTTTTGGTCATTGTGTTATTTCATGAATGATGGATACATGTGGCGAATGGTACATTGGTGTAACGTGTTGCTTTTCTTACAGGCGCGAAGATGACAAATTCCAAGGGTTACCGTCGCGGTACAAGGGACTTGTTCGCCCGCAAGTTCCGCACACATGGAACCATTCCTCTCGCCACGTACATGAAAGTGTACAAAATTGGCGACATCGTTGACATTAGGGTGTGTATTTATGAACACTCCACACTAATTTGATCTTATTAGGTTCGAGCCTCTCAATAAAACTTGGATTCCTAGTAGTTTTACTTATTAGTATAATTACTAGGGATCCATTATTCTCCCAATCAGTCCAAGATAATGTTTTATTTTTATTAGTAATAATATATAATAAAGTTCAAACAACCTTTGCTGACTATATAATACTTTGCCTATATAATACTGTTTCTTTGTCATTACCATAGCAATGTTCTGAATAGAATATTGCTTATTATTTACTATGCTGGCTAGACACCTTGGCCTTAAGTTTTTATTTCAGTTTTTTTGTTATTTTTATTCAAATTCAGTCTAACTGTTGTAATAATTGACTTGGGACAAATGTAAATCAGAAATGAAATTAAGTCATAAATTATTAAATAAATAAATAGGATCCTGCTTTATAGAATAATGTATTGATTTATTAAAATAATGTAAATATAAATGTTTTATAAAAGACAGGTAAATCAGATCTAAGGTAAATTTAAAAAAGTTGAAATTAATACAATTTTTTATTTATAGGGTAATGGTGCAGTCCAAAAGGGTATGCCACACAAAGTGTATCATGGTAAAACTGGTAGAGTTTACAATGTAACAGCACATGCTCTCGGAGTCATTGTCAACAAGAGGGTGCGAGGAAGAATCATCCCCAAACGCATTAACATCCGCATTGAACACGTCAAGCACTCCAAGTGCAGACAGGACTTCTTGAAGAGAGTCAAGGAGAATGAGAGGCTCCTCAAAGAAGCAAAAGCTGCCAACAAAGTCGTCAAGTTGAAGAGACAACCTGCTCCCCCCAAAGCTGCTCACATCGTCAGTGGTGCAGAGAAACCAGTGTTACTGGCTCCCATCCCATATGAGTTTGTAGCTTAAAAATTGAAATAAATTACTTTTAAGTATATATATTTTTTATTATTTTTTTTACTATTCGAATTTTAGATTTAACCCAAACTTTAGTCCTATTTAATGTTCGATTTTTATATAAAACTTACATCCCATTCCATCCTATGAGGTTGAATAGAAAAGAAGCCAACCTTTTTTAAGGGTTCAAATTACCTTCATTCTATTCATATTAAACTACATCAAAGTTCGATTAAGATATATAGTTATAAAAATTGAATTAGGTATTAGACTCTTTTAAACTTATAAAATTTGTTTTTTTTTTCTTATGTTTATAATATTTATTCAGAGGATCTTAAATACTACATAAAATTTGTTATATACTACTGTACTTCACTAGGACATATTTACTCATAGACATAGTATATCATAAAAAGAAAACATGATAAAACAGCTTTTTCTGAGCCTTAGAAAAAGTTTGAATTAACTTTTGCCTGTTACTTTGTACGCGTTGATTTCTAAAGTAGGAAAACCAATTAGACTACTTCTAGGTGGTGTATCAAGGTAGAACATGATGTATCAGATTTTAAGTTAGTACCTTTAGAAATATAACTGTGGCAACTACATCTGATTCGGTGCAGTAGTTTTTGTGTGATGCTGGAACTTACACATATAGATAGACAAAATTTCAGAAAAATATTGTATTCTATTGAATTACACCAGTGGGAGACTTTGTACAAAAGTCGTTTGCTATCCGGTAGAAACATGAATGGGACAGAGGTAACCAACCTCTGTCCCATTCGTGGTTCTACCGTGAAGCAGTTGCGTTTGCATGGCTGTGTTTCGGTATGGAGGGTGGGATATGGCAGTGAATTTACAGTGTACAGAGGAATGACACCTTAGTCCTCAGGAACGGCAACAAATGGGGGGTATCATGGGCAAAACAGTATACTCTGTTATGTCCATGGTATTGCTCATATATAGAGGCGACGGTTAGTACTTTCTACTAATACTGTTCAAATATAATACGAATTATATTTAAAACTTACTAATATAATAAAATTGTAACTAAATCATGTCTGTACATAAGAGATATTAAAAAAAAAAAACACCTGATGGTCTTAATAATTTTTTTTATGCAACTTAGAATGGCAAACAATCTGACGGCCCATCTGATAGGAAACAGTAATCTTTGTTTTTATGAATTGTCGTGAATATGGGGGAAAGGGATTGTTAGTAATGGAGACTTAGAATCCCATTGCTAGCAATATACCCAACCAGGTCGACCTCCTCGCGGTTCCCCCTGGAAACTATCATGGTTAATTCGTAATGAATTCATTATGATGGGCTAACTGGCCTGTTTTCATTCTCATCTATCACCCTTCATTGGTGCTCCGCCAGCGTATCCCGTTAGCGCAGGTGGGGTTACCATACCATTTCCACCCAGTAAAAAAAAATTGTGAATATAGTACTGCGCATTACATAGAATACTTTGTAATATTTATGGTTACCATTTTTACGCTGAAAATAAAATTAGATGATCCCACAGACAGTGGATGACCGGTTTGACCATTGGGTATCGTGTTAACTTTTAAAATCCAGTAGTATCAGGTACGTTCCTTGATACGTGGTTTATTCAAATACTTAAAACCTATTTTTTTTTTATTGATGATAATTGAAAGATAATCCCGCTTGCGCTAATGGTGTACGCTGGCGAGGCGCCAGTGATGAGTGATAGGTGAGGATGAAAGCAGGTCAGTTAGCCCATCGTGACAAGTCCACAAGAAGTAACCACGATGGTTTCCAGGGGGAACCGCGTGTAGGTCGACCTGATAGGGTATATTACATACCTATACGGTACATAGCAAGTATAGGCATGTTTAAGCGTCGTCTAAGAGAGCATTACTTATCACTATGCTGACGTATTATGTATATGTGTATGTATATTTATATATGTTTATATATATGTGTATATGTATGTTTGTGTAAATATATGTGTATGTTTACAAGGTATTTTATGTAATTTATAATGTGTAATTAGTATTATTCTTTGTGTATACATAACTTATGCGTTTATACAATATATGCATATCGTATAACTGCCTATTTTTATTTTTAAAATAACACAATTAACATGGAAAGGTTTTGCTGGAAGAAATCTCTTATTAGAGATAAGCTCGCCTTTGTACATTATGTTTATAATGAATTGTAATTAACAGTATGTTTTGTGTACAATAAAAATAAAGAATAGGATATTGTTAGAAAGGGGGTTGTTAGACCCCATTACTAACAATCCCTTCCCCCCTGTACCTTTTATGTTAGACCTGGGAGCATATAATACACATTGAGAAAATGATATTAAAATCCGTTGAGGTTTCGGAAATTAGCGTGAATGAACATCCAGACAGCAGAGAACTTTTCAACCAACTTCAGAAAGGAGGTTCTCAATTCGCTTTTATTTTTTGTTTGTTACCTCATTTTTGCTTACTCTGTCAGTTGTAAAGCGATTTGGAAAATTGTTTTCTTATCTGAAAGAATATGCTTACAGATTGGTCGCATAGAAATATTATCAAAATCGATTTACTAAATCGATCGAATCTAATTTAGTTTTTTTAAAGAGAATAGCTGGTATTGCCATAATTAAAGTCGCTTTTTTTTCTTGGAACATAAATCATTTACATTCGAGGCAATTATTAAATAAAAAGTTCGTACTTATCCTCTAATTAATAATTGTTCCAAATTGAAAAATGGGTAAATTCGGGTAAATAAATACAAGACACGCCACTTGAAGAATGATCACAACTTTGTATTTTGAAATGAATTGTATTTACAATTGATTGAAATCTAAAAATTGAATAATAATGAATTCAAACAATTTTAGAATAATATAAATGCCATTTTCAACTTTAACATTCGCGGCATATTAATGTAACATGATCTAACGTAGTGACTATCTTAAATAATATAAATTATTATATTAATAAACTTAACAACTAGCATCTCTAGATTGATAAAATAATATATATCCTGTTTCAGATGACTTTTGTATATCGGACGTTAGGCCGTAGAAGTCTTCTATTGCGGAGGCATCGATTTTCTGAAATAAATTGATATTATTATTGTAGCAATCACTCGATTACAGACTCTCGGTAATCGAGAGAGCAGAGGCCGCTAGCGCCGCCTCCCAGCTCGATACCATGATTGTATACTCTAGATTAGCGAATGAGTTGTCTCTGCCTATTAATTACACTGTACTGTCTGTAAGATTATTTTGAGTTTGTCCATGTTTTTGTGTACTACAATGTTTGATACGATTTATATGGTTACCTCCAGTAAAAGTATATTCCCCCAATAAAAAAAAAAAGTTTTCTTTGGCCCGTAACCCCAAGAACTCACTATATTATCATTTATATAATTATTTTAATTTTTATAAATAAACATCATCATCATATCAAGCTTTAACGATCCACTTCTTTTTTAATGGCTAATGAAGGAATTTATTTCAAGTGTATATATATACAAATTTCCCTTTGTATATCTGTCCCATTTGTGTTTCAACCGTGAAACAGTTGTGTTTGCATGGCTGTGTTTCGGATTGAAGGGTGGGATATGGCGTGAATTTACTGGGTACAGAGGAATAACACCTGAGTCCTCAGGAATGGCAACGCATGGGGGGTATCATGGGCGAAACAGTATACTCTGTTATGTCCATGGTACTGCTCATGTTTATAGGCGACGGTTACCACTTTTCATCAGGTGGGCCGTCAGCTTGTTTGCCATTCTAAATTATATAAAAAAAAACACTGTGTTTTTGTTGTTTCATTCTTATTTCAGTTGGTTCAAATATATCTTTATTAATTTTTACAATAAAAAGGAAACTTAAAAATCTATAATATTAAAAACAATACTCAAGCCAATGGGTAAGTAGAGTAAAGGTGTTAAACTGAGTTGTGACCATTTTGCGTTACTGTGGTGCACTCATGAGAAATTGTGTAAACTCTTTATGTACTTTCCTTTTGTTCTTTTTTTTTTTTTATATATGTTTTGTTTTATTTCTTTAAATATGTATCTAATATTATTTGTGTGCTGTAAATGATGCAAATAAATTAATATACATATATCTATCTGATACCTTTAGTTAGAAACAGGGGCACGAAGTGGCCGTAATAATATACTATATATGTATAATATTAAATTGTAGCAGAGTAATAATAATACTCACATCCACCATGTCATCATCGAATAACAGCCAGAAGCCATGACTCTTCACTATACTGATGTAATGGCCACGGTTGGGACCAGAGCCACAGTGTACCACCACTGCTACTAAATCATACAGGCGGTCTGGGTTCACAGCATCATCCGACTGTAATGGAAACACCTTTGGATTTCACTTATGAATATTGTTCTTTCAAACCCACATTTATTTATTTACACTTTATTGCACCATTTATAAAAATAATAAATACAGTCAATTTTAATGAGACGTGATACAAAAAGTGGCCTTATCGTTAAGCGATCTCTTTCAGACAACCTTCAGGTAGATGACATTGAGAAAAAGACAAAGGATAGGATTATTATATAACTACTAATATATACATACATGTGTATATATATATTGTAGATATTTAAAATAAAAAAAAAACTGACCTATAATTTTGCCAAAATTTAAATAGGAGCTGTAAAATATTAATAAAAAAAGAAGATGCAAATTGAATTAAAAATCTTAGGACAACTTAGTCTACGTGGTCAAAGTATCGCCAAAAGATTACAAGGAAATAGGTTTTCATTTTATGAAGTTGGTAACTTGGGACATTGATGCCATACTTACGGTATTAAACAGCCTCAATTCCAACGGGAACACGACTCGATGTGACACCTTAATGTGCCTGTTATACTGTTCCATATATTTGAATCTCTTCAGGTGCAACGCGAGGATGAGCGGCAGTTTTTTGACGCGCATACGCTTCTGTGCTTCTTGATAGCTGCTGCAGTTGTCACATTTGAATTTGTTGTCGTTGCAAAGCGTTTCAGTGTCACTGAAGCATTTTAGGCAGTGTGTAATACTTGTGTTTTGTCCTACGTCCACCTGGAAGAAATTGTTACAAAAGAATGCCTATTATATTGCTTTTTAAATATACTGAAGAACAGATAAACAGAATTAAATACTTTGAATTCGAAAATATATAAAAATTACCACATACACAAATACCAGAGGGAGACTTTGTACAAAAGTCGATTGCTTGGGTACCTCTGTCCCATTCGTGTTTCAACCGTGAAGCAGTTGTGTTTGCATGGCTGTGTTTCGGTTTGAAGGGTGGGATATGGCGTGAATTTACTAGGTACAGAGGAATAACACCTGAGTCCTTAGGAATGGCAACATATGGGGGGTATCATGGGCGAAATAGTATACTCTGTTATGTCCATGGTACTGCTCATGTCTATAGGCGACAGTTACCACTTTCCATCAGGTGGGTCGTCAGCTTGTTTGCCATTCTAAGTTGTATAAAAAAAAATAGATTATTGAGTTCACACATTAGGTGAAATAAGGTGTTGAACCACTGTTTATTTATTTTAGACAACTTCGGTCCATTTTTTGTACTTGGAAGTGTACATCAAAACTATGTTAATACTTACATTACTAAAATGATCTAGTCCTCACGGCAAGCAACTATGCCACTAAAGACGTCAAATATAATAACATTTCCAAACACGTAAAAGTTCTTAATTAGAAGTGAACAAATATTTTACTTCATCATATCTGCCTTTAATGGTACACTGCTGTACATAGCACATATTATTAACAATCCCCCCAACCCCACCTAACTAGCCCCATTGCTATATACATTATCAGTTTGACCTCTGCAAGACCCCTTCTGGATATCATCCTAGCTAAATCCTCGTAAATTTACTATCTTGGACCAGTTCATTTAAAAAAGAAGTCACTAGTTTCAACATACCTGCAAGTCAAAAAAATGCTCATCCTTGCTGCTAACAGTTTCACAATTCAAACACCTAGTTTCACTGGTGAGCGTTCCCTGAAATATCTCGTGCACCCACGTCGGCTCCGCGCTCTGAGGCACCGTGCCGTTACATGTCACATTCTCCCCTGAGGTATTCTTTTGTAGCTTAAGTGTACTTTGATTGCGTTCAGCTGAAATAAATATTAAGTATTACAATTCAATTCAATTTATTCATAACAATATTACATTGTGTCGAATAGGTATGATAGGAATTTCACATATAAACAATATCAGATACAATCAACGAATTAATAATAATAACAATTTCAGTAAAAAAAATAATACACAAATTCTGTCGTCCTCCGTGGCGCAGCGGTCAATACGCCTGCCTGCGACGTGGAGGCCCCGGGTTCGATTCCCGGCCAGGTTATGATGGAAAACGATCTTTTCCTGATTGGCCTGGGTCTTGGATGTTTATCTATATATGTATTTATTATAAATATAGTATCGTTGAGTTAGTATCCCATACCACAAGTCTCGAACTTACTTTGGGGCTAGCTCAATCTGTGTGATTTGTCCGTATATATTTATATTATTATATTTAAAGTTGGCAAACTTTGTAAACAGTCCTGCATTTATAGTAAAAATAAAAAAAAATAATAATAATGAAATTGGAATATAAAAAAAATACATATTAATAATCAAGATATCGCACCTTCAGTAAGACAAGGGTACAACTGTACTTTTTGTGATTTTACAGGACAGCCATTTAATGTTTTTTTTTTCACATTCAATGTTGTGTTATTCACCAAATTCATCTAAAATGACACTAATGCTATTTGGCGACGATAACCCGTATTTACTGCGAGTCTTTGTTCTTCTTCATGTTTAATTCATTTTGCAATTTTTTGTATGTTGTCTTATGAAGGTGCAATATGTTTTTTAATTATTAATATGTGATAAGCTTTTTTTAATGTCTTTTGTGACAGTGGATTTTAATTCTATCATTTATTATATAATAAAAATGTATTTACCTAAAATAATCTCATTAATATGATTTATGAGGAAATTGAGGAACTCATGGGCATCTTGTTGCATATAATTGTCAAATTCTTCTGCAAATATAAAAAGATCAACATTTTTATTGTGCTTACAATAATAATAAACTTACATATGCCATATAATCAGAATTAATTAATTCACAGAGCAATTGTGTAATCACAGAGAAAATGACCTTTATATTTATGTATGTATATTAGAATAATCCATTATCTATGTATATATTATTTATTGTGTATAAGTATACATTATTAACTATTATTTTCTTTATTTATTCCAATAATAAAACACTATTCATCCTAAAGGATGTGTGGTAGAGTTTGCTACTAGCATTAAGTCCACCTTTTGTACTATATTTCCTTTTAGTCAATAAAGTTATTTAAATAAATAAATTACCAGTGTAATGAGAAAGACAACAAATATCTTAAGGCATTCATTTCAATTAAAATCTAATATTTATAAATGTTTATTTTTAAAATGGTCTGATTAAGAATCAAACTTGGCGCTTAACATATGAAATGTGGCTTTTAAATATAATCTAAATTAATATCATAAAGAGGAAGGATTTGATTGTTTGTAACAGATAAAAAGAAAATATATATTTTTAAAAATTATTTCACCTTACAGTTAGTAACATTATCAGCAAGTAGTACTGTATTTAAAAAATATATGCAAAGGCAGGTTGCTACTAATAAATGAACTTAATTCTGTATATTTAATATTCTCAATAACACAATTTTACCTTTTTCCTTCCTTAATCTAGCAATAAACTTCTTAGGTGCAATAGAGCCCACTTTTTTCTTCTGTGTGGCGATGCTATAAAATAAGTCTGCCAGACATGTTAATAGGGTCTCCTTAGTTCTCTTATTCTTAGCCTTATATTCAAGTACTTTCTCTCTAAATGGGCGGCAAAAGTATAGTGCTTGTAATACTGAATTGCTATAACAAGTATTTCCAAACTGAAAAATGCATAATATTATTACAAAGAGTACATAAAAAGTAAGACGAGACATGTAAATATTTATGTATAATAAAATCTTAAAGAAATATTTTTGAGGTGTAATAAATTTAATCAAAGCACTTATTGACTGAATATAAGATATCTATAGGATATGTAAGATTATCTGTACTAGAAAAAATATTTATCTATAATAAATAATTGTTACCTACAAAACTAGGCAACCTAGTATGTACTATGTATGGAACACAAAAGTAATTGATTTAAAAATGTTTCAATAATAGTTTGTTAATATTTTTGTGGATAAGTAGAATGTCATGTGGATGTTAATGTTATAATAGTAAGCAATTTAGTATTTAGCAAAAAACAAGTCCAATTAAAAAAAAATTTCACCTATTTTTAATTAATGCATTTACAAATTAACAGCAATTTATTTTATTAAACAGATTTAAACTTTTCATCAATTTTCTTTAAAAATTGGAATAAGTGTATGCTATTTATCTCGATAATCTATTTCGCCAACTATATTTATGTTCGATTATTTATCTACTTATCGTAAAACTAGATGAAGATAAAAAATAAATGAATCCAAAGTCATACAACTTACATTGACTAATCCAAAATAATGTTCATTTGGTGGGAACTGTTCTGACCCAATATCTCTTTCCAACTGTGATATATTTGCGCCCTGAAAATTTTGCAAAACTCATATCATATGCTTTTCTTAGAAATGCCGCTTTTGATTAGGTCAATAGAGATCATGTGTAACGATTCGAAATTTGGTCGAAACTTTTTGGAACTTATTTCATATTTACTGCTAATTAATAATGAGGTTTGTGTGTTGATTATAATTAGAAATTAGCAAGAAATTATTATGCATTTCTCTCACCATTCTCTGTTGGAAATTAAGGCCGAGATCCTGACATATTGACATTGGCAATCTCTTTCTGGCGACTTATACACAGAACACGCAATAAATTGTGGATGCGTTGTTTATTAATTTAAAATGATGCCGAAGCTAATAGTGGGAACATAATTAAAATTTCTTTTTGGTAATATGCAAAACAACCACAACATCTATTGCCATAGATTAGTGACGTCAAATGACATTGATTAGGTGTTGGATCTTGATATGATAATCTTAGGCGATGATTACACGATCACATACAATTTTAAGAGTAATGCTACCCCGATAGGACACACAATTTATAGTTTAAGAATAGTATAATTATGTACAGGTTTTTTCTGTCATGAAAAGAATGCTGCAGAAAGTTTCTATTATTCTCAATCTATGTATCTAGAAATGTCAGCTTCAACTGTCATTATGTTTTAACTAGCAGATTGTCGTTTAGCTTGCTAATTGGCTGTCAGTGGCTAACATGTTCAGAATATTATGACTTTTACAGAAAATTCGAAAACCTGAACTTATAGCGACTGTGTTAATTTTCATTTGGAGTTTAAATATAGAGTAATAACTTTACTATTGCTTATAAGATTATAGTTTCATTATTTTTATATTTATGGTGTTTAAAATTGTAACACATTACATTTGCTCGTATTTAATTTTAAAATTAGCTGGTAAATTCTGTTTCAGAACGGTCCTCATCTCCTGTGGCTCCAGCATCCTCCCGCGAACCGCCTCTCGTTTGTCCCCGTTTCCTTTGTTTGTATTCGGGAAGAAGGAAGTTTACGTGTACTGTGTTGACGTGGCGATTTCTGGAAGGTATTAATTGAAATATAATACATTTCTTTCTGTAACTTATTATACTGAACTTTATTGAATGTTTAGAACTTAAACACTTTTAGCTGCTACTCTCCAATTTGAGTATTTATAATATTTTGCAGTAGTTTTCATTTAATTAAGTAAGTATTTAAATTATCTTACAGACAAACACTAAATATGTTGAGATCGTTGTTTGTGGCATTGGCCGTGTCAGCGGTTTTCGCCGGGGTGCCTTCTAATGAAGAGACGAAAAGACTGATGGATCACCTATCTGATGTGGAACACTTCAAGAATGAACACCACAATAAGCAATTCGACCACGACGCATTCTTGGGGGAGGATCAAGCTAAGACTTTTGATCAGTTACCACCTGAAGAAAGTAAAAGAAGGCTAGGGTAAGTATTTCAAATATTATTTAATTGTTATTATTATAATATATTACTAGGGTTTGCAAATTGTGCAGGGAAATAATAAACTGGCTTTTCAATGATGGCTAGTTTACTCCGTGTGTTTGTAGGTACAGATGAATGTTTGCATGTGTAAAGTTGTACAAAATGGTTCTTTACATAAGGTATATAGAAAATACCAATAATAAGGATCTACAATTGAAGTAGTGAAAATAGAGTGTCGATAAGTCATGTCTAACCAGCAGTATTATAAATTTGATGTGAAAGTGAGTTTTTTGGTACTAAATAAAAATGCTTGATATATATCTAAACAAACAAAAAGTTTTTATATATTCTTGTTCATGTCTAACCAGCAGTATTATTTGATGTGAAAATTAGTTTTTGATTTATTACTTTTCGGTACTAAATAAAAAAGCTTGATATATAATATCTAAAGAAACAAAAAGTTTTTATATATTCTTATATGGTTTTATATAAGTAATTTAAATAAGAATTGTAAATTGTAATAATAGTTTGTAAATTTAGTAGGAATTGTAATGCTCTCATACCTTGTCCTATATTGACTATAAACTTTTTAGAATTTTAATTGGTAAGTTTTAAATGTAACTTTAAATGCTTTTTGTATATGTTATGAATGTAAAGGTGATTAAAACTCAGAATTGGAATTTCAAGTTCATAAATGTTTTTCTATTGTTCAACTCTACTGCTTGGATCTGTAGTCATAAAAATTTCATCAATATAATAATCAACTCGGAACAGCTGAATAAATAATAGACAATGACTGTTGATTGTGGAATATATGTCTACAATAAATTATTATCAGAAATTACTGAAATATGAACCTTGAAATAATTAATACAAAGGCTGTAAACCAATATATGAATGTACAGTCATGAAAATTGTAGTGTAAAATTTTGAAAAACAGGTAATATTATTTTTTGTATTACAGTAGACACTTTATTTTAGTATTATCCTATGACAATATTGGGACAATTATGAAAATTGCACCTCAATGATATATCCATCTATTTCAATATTATTACAGTTTTTTTTACAAGGATATTATACTATATTTGGTGGAGGAAGTAAACATATACAGCTTAGTTTGTTTAAATTATTTATGAATCAAGAAATTCCTACTGGAAAAACAAAAAAAAAATTGATGAACTTAAAAAAGTTCACCAATAATTGGGGTTTAGGTTTCAGATAATATACTAATTGGGATCAATCTTATTGTTGTTTTCAGAAATATCTTCAGATTATTATTTAAAAATTAATTTATAGATTATTGTAGTCTAAAATTTCCGAGCGATTCTCTGGTGATAAGAATAATAAAGCGCCATTACAGTCACTGTCAGTTCTGTTCAATTATGCATTGTGCAAATATGGACATAGTAAAGTCCTAAATGAATAATAATTATATTTTTTTATTCAAGTAAATTTAATTACAAGCACTTTTAAATAGCTATTTTTTTATAATTTTACAGTTCATATACCATATGTAGACTAAGCACATGAGTTAGTTAAGTCATTAGACAAATCAGGTTTATTATTGTAAATATTATATTGAATTGAATGTCAAACAAAAAATATTCAGATATATGTCAGATTTAATTCGCAATGTACGTAATAAATATCCAATGCACTATATTTTTACTATTTAGGCATATTTGTCTTGTATGTAATCATATAGTGTATAATAGGCCTTATTCATTAAATGTTCCTATTACAAGAATTTCTCTATCAACCCCATCTCAAATTACAGCCGTGAATATATTTCTCTTTTTCATTTTAAACTTAGAGAATGATTATTGAGAATTGACCTCAATTTACATTTATCAAACTAGCGCTAAACTATTTTGTGATTGAGATTGCTTCATCAACATTATTATAGTGTCAATGAACTCTGTAAGATCTATATTTAGATTATGGAACTATCTCTATGTCTACATTATAAATTTCCGTCATCTTAAGACAGTTATCTGTATCCTGTGAATTTATCGCCCACGCGCTATAGAATGTGGGCTAAGTAAACTAGTGTAGTGCTGAACATGATAGTGATGTGCCTCGATTAGAGTTGAATGTGCTTATGTACTTTGATTATAGATTTTATAAAAAAAAAAAAATGTATGTTCACGACTGTAATTCCAAATAATTTTAATTTTTAATATGTTTTTGTATGATAAAATATACAGTTATAGGATTTTAAATTATTGTCAAATTGTTGAGATAGTAATTATTAAAAGCTAGTTAAATTACTTGTCTTATCCAGTGACTCTTATCTCTGTTATATGAGCATATTGATAAAGTTTAAAAAGTGACACATATCCCCCGACTGATTTATCAACACGCTGCAAAAACTGGGCCTGGAATGTTCTATACGCGACGAGCTGTTGACCCGAACTTGTCAGAAGTTTAGATAAATATTAAATTACTTATTTTTTTAAGCGACTTGTCTGCGTAATCGAGATAATATTTTGATTGACGGAAATAAAATCAGCTTATGTCTTTCTCCATTCCAAATACTAAGAGTATACCATACAATTTAAAACAAACTCATTTTCACATTGGAAATACTAGCTATATCTTGCGGTTTTGCCTATGGAGCAGTATATAAAATATTCTATATGTTAAGGTAGGATATAGAATAGATTATTTCCACTATAGGGGGCGTTTGGCCCAGTCTATGCCTAGAAATACCACCCCTTCCTTTCCCGTGGGTGTCGTAAGAGGCGACTAAGGGAACTTATTGGTCAAGGGATAGGCAGCATTAAAACATGACGAAAGCCTAATTGCGGTTGCCAACTCCCTTGCCAATCGTGGCAGCTACTGGCGAAACTCCCCTTATAGGGGAGGCTATGTTCAGCAGTGGTCAGGTAACGGCTGATAAAATAAAAAATAAAAAAATAAATAAAAGATCAACACATCGGTTATACGCCCATTAAATTTATAATTTAACGCCCTAATATATGGTTATCAGCAATGATCTCGTGTGTGGGCGACGTTTATTGATGATAATGATTGCGTACTTCAATTGTTATAGCTTGGATATATAGAATACTAGCTTTTACCCGCGACTTTGTCCGCGTGATCGGAATATGTTTACTTACCGGGGTAAAAAGTAGCCTATATCCTTCTTCATTCCAAATGTATCCTATGTGTATCCCATACCATATATGTATGTGTATATGAAATTTCATAGTGGTTGATTAAGCTGTCAAGGAGTTGTAAAGTAACAAACAAACAAACTCATTGTCACATTTATAATAAGGATGTATGTAAGGATTAATTTTGTTTATTGGTGTTATTTTTTTTTAATCGACTTAAAGACCGAGATTTTGTGTTTTTTCATTGAAATCCGTTTCCAATCGTTTAAACATCTTTATGAATTTTCCATTTATAATATTTATTTGACTTGTCTGTAAAACTTGATAGGAGATGGTTTCTGATTGCCTAGCCTTGAAGCTAGAGTACACTCTATGTTACAAGAAACCAGAGTACTCACGCTCGACTCGATTTGGTAAAGTTCGATTCCTAAATTGACTCGATTGAGAATCGAACTCGGAATGAAATTATTAGGTAATTGAGGTCACGGAAAATCTGATCTACCTGTTTGTTCAATCCGTTTTATTGTTTTTTTTTTTTGTGTTACTGTTATATACTTGCAATTTAACAGTAGACTGCAGCTAATGTTGATTGGAGACCATTTCAATTTTTATGCATTTTATGCATGGACTTTTTGGGCATTTTTATAATAATACTCCATTATTTGTATGTACTTTTTTTAATGGATGAAAATGGTATAGTAACTCCGTCTGTATTTACGGAATACGCTGGTAGGGCATCAATGAAGGATGGTAGGTGAGGGTGAAAGCAGGTCAGTTGGCTTACGGCATCGTGACGAATTCAGCAAGAACTAATCACGATGGTTTCCAAGGGGAAAAGCTTTTTTTTTATATACAACTTAGAATGGCAAACAAGCTGACGGCCCACCTGATGGAAAGTGGTAACCGTCGCCTATAGACATGAGCAGTACCGTGGACATAACAGAGTATACTGTTTCGCCCATGATACCCCCATGCGTTGTTCCTGAGAACTCAGATGTTATTCCTCTGTACCCTGTAAATTCACGCCATATCCCACCCTTCAAACTGAAACACAGCCATGCAAACACAACTGCTTCACGGTTGAAACACGAATGGGACAGTCCGACCTAATCTCTAGTCTCAAAGCCCTATCTCTAGCAATATACCTTATATTGCTAGAGAATAGGGCTTTGAGACCTCCTTTATTAACAATCCTTTTCCCCCAATCTGTTGCTGTGTATATAATGCTAAATAAATGACTATTTTTAATTTTAGCGTAATAGTGGACAAGATCGACACCGATAAAGACGGGTTCGTAACGCCGGTGGAGCTGAAGGACTGGATCCGGTACACGCAGAAGCGGTACATCGACGAAGACGTGGACCGCCACTGGCGGCAGCACAACCCCAACAACGAGGAGTCCATCACCTGGGATGTAAGTAATCAGTCCACAGCAACAGCAAATTCCGAATTGGGAGGTAAAATTGTAAAAAAAATGCTAGAACTTATTTTTTTTTCTTAGCATACTTGGAATATAAGTATATTTTTTATTAAAAAATGAAAAAAAAAACAGTGGTACCAATCTTAACTAAATTTGATATTTGACATTGACTAATAATCTTACATCTGCCTAATATAATAAAATTGGGGGGAAAGGGATTGTTAGTAATGGAGACTGAGAATCCCATTGCTAGCAATATATCCAACCAGGTCGACCTCCTCGCGGTTCTCCCTGGAAACTATCATGGTTAATTCCTGATGAATACATCATGGTGGGCTAACTGGCCGGTTTTCATTCTCATCTATCACCCTTCAGTGGTGCTCCACCAGCGTATTCCGTTAGCGCAGGCGGGGTTACCATACCATTTTCACCCATAAAAAAAATTATAACTAGACAATGGTTGTCTTAATAAAACCAATAGATGCCAAAAAATAATTTTTAGTAGTCTTTTCTGTCTGTATGTATATTTGTTCCGGTACGTATTCGCATATACGGAGTAACGGGCAACAAGTTAGTGTGAAATAAATATTATTACGATTGTTTTTTTTTTTTGATGGGTGAAAATGGTATGGTAACCCCGCCTGCGCTAACGGGATACACTGGCGGAGCACCAGTGAAGGGTGATCGATGAGGATGAAGTAGGTCAGTTAGCCCATCGTGACGAATTCAATAAGAATTGTTCACGATGGTTTCCGGGGGGAACCACGTGGAGGTCGACCTAATAGGGCATATTGCTAACAATGGGGCTGCCAAACTCCATTACTAACAACCCCTTTACCCCCTATTGCGATTGTTGTAAAGTGGATATTTAAATTAATTGTGCGTGAAGATAGATTAAATTGTAATTCGTTTAATTTCATTTAACAGGCATACAGGAAAAATGTGTACGGTTTCTTGGATGAAATGGATCAAAAGGAATTTAAATCACCGGACAGTGAGGGCTTCGCTTATTCTGCTCTACTGAAACGAGACAGGAGGAGGTGGCATTATGCCGGTAAGAGATTTTTTTAGCATATATATAACTATATTTCGAAGTGAACTCTGTTTATCCTTTGTAACATAATATTATACCTAAATTATAACATTTACAGATGCTGATCAGAACGAGGCATTAAACAAGACAGAGTTTGCGGCGTTCTTACACCCCGAGGATTATCCTGGAATGAACACTGTTGTTGTACTTGAGACCTTGGAAGACATTGACAAGGATAAGGTAGGACCATATGAATTTTAATGTTTTATAATATAATAATAAACAAAAATAATACTAGTGATGGCAGTTTTTTTTAATAAGTAATAATGAAATGATAACTACATCTGAGCTATCAATATACACTGGTGGGGCAACAGTTTGGGATGATAGGTGAGGATGAAGCAGGTCAGTTGGCCCATCATGATGAATTTCACAAGAATTAACCATGGTAGTTTCCAGGGAGAAGCGCGTGGAGGTCGACTTGATAGGGTGTATTACTAGTAATAGGGAAATTAGACCCCACTACTAACAAACCTACTTTTATGGTAGGAGTTATGATGAAGGAAATGGCGAGCTACATCTACAAGGCAAATTTCAGTGTGAGCAAAAACACGAAATTGAGTCCGAAAATTTGGAAATTCATTTTATGGTAGACCCTACGTTTAGAGAAATCATGTCTCAAAATCTGCCCCATTTTAGATAGAATAACAAAACTTAGTAGAACCATGTCTTCTTTCCAGGACGGTAAGATATCTCTTGAGGAGTATATTGGTGATATGTACAAGCCCGAGGATGGAGAGGAAGGCGAGGAGCCCGACTGGGTCAAGCAGGAAAGGGAGCAGTTCACTGGATACAGGTGGGCATTCATTAATTTATTAACGATTAAAGTTAATAATGACTAACATTTAACATGTCTGAACATCAAAGGTGTCTATTATGCCTTTGATAGTGTTTATCACATCAAATGAAATCAAATGAAAGGTTGATAAAACACATATATAATGCGTAAGTAGATGTTTAATGTCCGACAATGGAATGGCAACCCCGCCTGCCGCCTATGCTATTGGTATACGTTGGCGGGGCACCAGTACAGGGGGGGGGGGGATATTTTAGCCGGTAACTGTCCACTGTCGAACATAGGTTTCCTCTTTTGGGGTGTGTTTTATTAGTAGTGTTACAGGATTTAGGAGGGTTGATAACCGCAGGGGTGGTCCATCCTATGCTGGGATCACAATGTATGGAAAGAGGATATAAACTGACTTATTGAAGATAACCTAACAAGAATCATTTGTGTGCATAAGTCTAGTTATGAATCAGGTTCATCCTCTTTATTTTTAAAGAAGATAGATAAGGATAGAGAGAGATTTTGTTATTTGGTACTCTATCTATCCTGCAGGGGCCTTGATGTGAAAATAGAATATACATAATAAAATATTTATGTATCAAATGAAAGAAATTGAAGAGTAGGCAACTATAAAATATATGAAGTCATTCTAAAATGGCTGATATCACAAGATGGCGGAGATCATTATGAAAGCTTGTTATTAAAACTGTTTTTAAACTTGTTATTTGAAAAAATCCACAGAGACACAGACAAGGATGGGTACATGGACGAGGGAGAGGTGAAGGAGTGGATCGCGCCTCCCGAGTTCGACCACGCGGAGGCCGAAGCGCGCCATCTGGTGTTCGAGGCGGACTCCGATGCCGACGAGAAGCTTACTAAAGCGGAGATCCTCGACAAGTACGACCTGTTCGTCGGCTCGCAGGCCACCGACTTTGGTGAAGCACTAGCTCGTCACGACGAGTTCTAGTTCCGTTTTAGTTATTGTTAATATACATTTCCGTCTGTTCTGTTAGTATATTATATGAATTTATGATAATTCTACGCTTAACCGCCGACATCTGCTAAAACAGAAAAAAATATTATAAGTATCTACTGAAAAAAGAAATCATTCACGATTTATTCAAAATACGATAAAATCAAAACATATTTGATCTTAAGATAAATTTTTAGTACATTCAAGTAACGATTATTTCTTTATGTAACATAGAAAAGGAGATATGGAAATTAGAAAAAAAAAATACAATAATTTCAGTTATAAATTGCTTTTCCTTAAACGTTGATAAATTAGAAATATTAAAATATCAATTGCAATAAATTGAATTACAATAGGGGATAATAAATATCGTGAGTCATTCTGAATTGAAACTAGTTGAACAACCCCATTGTTGATATATGAATAAGGCCAATATAAATAATTACTTTATGCACACAAAATACATGTGTATAAAGACATTTCTTACTGGGAAATTCAATTAAAAGTTGTAAAAATTTCTTTATAAATTAATAATACTAAAAACATACATATTCATAATTGTTTCTTTAATTTTTAAAAGGGGCAGCTAACTTACTGTGCTCTCCCTATTTATTAAAATTAATAATTAAAAAGAAAAATTAAATTAATGTTGTAATTGTTTATTATTGTTATATTAACTACTTATCGTGTCTTGAGGTTGGATTTGACAATAATATATTTCTAATAACATTTCTATAAGAACAGACGGAAATGGTCAATAGGCATAAGCTAGCTGCAGTGGGCATGGTCGCGTAAAAATGGTGGGCATATTAATTTGACTGATAAGTAATGTTTTATATGCTATTTGCTATATACATCGATCTGATTATTTGTGTTTTAAAACAGATGCCACATCTTTCTTTACTTAACTTAAGTATGTTTATTGAAGTTAATTTTCTAATGTGCATTTTTACTGGATAATTTTGACGTTTTTAGAACTAATTAATTCCATTATAAATTGTATGAGAAATGATTATATATAGGTACATTTGAAAAGACAAAGTGCGTTTAATTTTTTACTGAGCCTAATTTGTATGAGTGCAATTTTTTAAATCATTAATAGATAATATATCAATAAACGATATAAATGAATTGCTGTATAATGGAAGAATTATATTAATTTTGTTTTAAACAGAAACTCGGGTATTTACAAATATTTCATATATTTTAATACATCAAGACCTATTTTTATCTATTTATTTTATCATTTATCTATTTATTTATTTAAACTATTGCACCATTTATAAAAATCATAAATACATTAACTACAATACTTTGAATGTATGCGTTTTATGTATGTATGAGAAATGACGACAAATTTATCATTCAGATAATACTTAAGCTGTAATTTGTCTACTATAATGTTTAAATAATGAATGGCAGCATCAAATAAAATAGTACTCTATTAATTTTAAATTTAATTATTATATACTTAGCTAATACATTACATACTTAGCTATATTTCAACTGACACTTGCCATAATACTGTTTTGTAGAATTTCTGTTTTACGTTTTGTATCTATAGAATAAGATGTAAGTCATTAGTTACTAACATTCAAGACCAAAGCTATATTTCCAGTTAAAATCTCACTACTCTACTTATCTATTGTACTGAGAAATTATATTTTTTTATAGTATCAGAAGGAGAGGCAAAGCCACTAATATCACCTGATGGAAAGTGGCAATGTTTAGACCATATTGGTACCGTGGAAACTACACGTATGGCCAAATGTAAATTCTATTTGTGATTCTAAAATTAAGATATTGTTTAAGATTAATATATTTTATATTATATCATATGTATAGCGTTTAATAATGTACTTACTGATTTAAAATCAATTTATAATTTCCGAACTAAATTTTTTTTTTTTTCTCCAGTACAATTAACATAGGAAACTTTTAGTTAGTATAATAAATACATTTTTAACTAGATATGTTTTTTATTTGTCATCCATCATTCACAGATATTGGTTGGAGTATTTATAGTGGAACTCTCTTATTTCGTTTGAGAGTTTCCTCTTGTCGGTGCAACTAATTCATTTATTCCCTTCCAGCCAGCTCTATTCCCAGCTATATCTTTGACCTCCCTATACGATATGACACCTAGTGTTAGAGGAACTATATATTTTAAATTTAAAACTTGCGTATTAATCAGTTATAATCCTTACCACTCGTAATATTAGAAATATGAAAGTGAGTTTGTATGTTACCTTATAGTGACTTAACTTTTAATCACCAGAGGGAGACTGTACAAAAGTCGATTGCTTGGGTACCTCTGTCTCATTCGTGTTTCAACCGTGAAGCAGTTGTGTTTGCATGGCTGTGTTTCAGTTTGAAGGGTGGGATATAGCGTTAATTTACTGGCTACAGAGGAATAACACCTGAGTCCTCAGGAATGGCAACGCATGGGGGTAATCATGGGCGAAACAGTATACTCTGTTATGTCCATGGTACTGTTCATGTCTATAGACGACGGTTACCACTTTCCATCAGGTGGGCCATCAGCTTGTTTGCCATTCTAAGTTGTATATAAAAAAAATCAATTATTAAAATGTGGTATCTACGTACTATATGGGATTGAGAAGGATGTAGGGTATTTTTTAACGTGGTCAGTAAACATCTCAGATACGTGGACGAAGTCGTTGATAAAAGTTAGTAACAAATAAATATTACGCGATAATCTAGCTATATATTACGCTAGTGAATCTAACATGTGATAGAATTTCTAGCATTTTAAATAATTTTATTTTGTTTGTTGGAGATCGAAAACAATTGTATGACAATATTTTTAATATTAATCTATATAATAATAAACGTGTAGTGAAACGTATAAATCCACCATATTATTGATGGGATCACATTAACTAGCTATATATAAAAATATCTCAGTTTACGTGCTTTCTGTATCTTATGGGCCGGTTTGGGTTTTATGTAGTTTTTATGATATCCGCAAAAGTCTGTTTGTCCCTCCGTATCTCGGTGACAGCATAAAAATCCAGAGCTTACACGATAATTAAGCATCCAATAGAACTTTATAGCCACAGATCAGAGAGGCTGTGTGCTCTACCAAGCGAAATAAGGGATTATCTGGTTGAGTTAGGTGAGTGACTGCATCTTTTGTTTTACTTATTTTTCAAGTAGTTTCGTAGTCTCGGATCGACCGATAAAATGACGAATTTAGAGTATAACATTCATAAATCAATGGATGCCATTGTGATTTCTTCACGATGAGCCAACTTAGCTGAATTTATCCTTATCTATCTATCTTTTACCGGTATCGTCATCACTTGACACTTGAAAAATGACCGCAAGTATAGATTGTCATTTAATAACTCTAGATTGCGGCTAACGAAGAGCAGGTAACTGTGGTACACTGCCTTATATTTTTGCTTGAAACAAAGTATTAAAAAACTTTAAACCTGCAGAAATCAGCAGCGGAATCTATAGTTTTTAGACGATTGTTTTTCCAGCGTTGATATTATTGTTTGTAAAGGATACTGTAATTATGTACCATATACATGGTGAGATCGAAATTGTTAGCATACTTATAAGTGGTATATCATTGAAACAGAATATTGTTCTCAAAGAATATTTTGTCTATATAATTCACAGCTTTGTTTTTATGCAACTTAGAATGGCAAACAAGCTGACGCGGCCCACCTGATGAAAAGTGGTAACCGTCGCCTACAGACATGAGCAGTACCATGGACATAACAGAGTATACTGTTTCGCCCATGATACCCCCCATGCGTTGCCATTCCTGAGGACTCAGGTGTTATTACTCTGTACCCAGTAAATTCACGCCACTGCATGTAAGTATCAGAGGTTTAAAATTTTTCGATTTTAAAATAATTTAATTTTAAGACAACTCATCATGATTGGAACTTATAAACTTTTTGTCATTTTACGACCTGTTTCTTTGAGAAAAAATATTTGGTCTTACTGGTAGAATATTGGTTTAACAGGAATGGAATATTTTTTCAACTTCATTTAACTGTCCACTGCTGAATATAGGCCTCCTCCATAAGGGAGGTTTTACTAGTAGTTGCCACGTTTGGCAAATGGATTGGCATCGCAGTTAGCCTTTGGTGATGTTTTAAAAGGGATGCTACTGTTCATTACTCGACCATAAAGTTTCCTTTGTCGCCTTTTACAACACTCTCGGGAAAGGAAGGGGTGGCCTATTCTATATTGGCACGACATGAAGATCCATGATAAATAAATGAATAAATTATAGAAATACTTGAATGGTACACGCTGCCTATTAATTAATTTAACCCAAACTCTCTGTGTAAAAGCCTGCAGTTTCATATCGTGATTACAGATGCATTTTCTACCTTATTGCACAGGGAATAAGTTGCAACGGGAAATCTATTTATAGAGGCACTAGTTTGTCGATTGGCACCTAACCGCAGAATAAATACTACTGCAAGCCAACGTTTGTATTGCGGTTTATACTAATCAGCGTATTTGATTGACGTGTATTGAGTTATTTAATACTAGCGACTCGCCACGGCTTCGCATAGATTGATTGTATGTGGTACTGTAAAAGCTCGTACATTGATAAATCTTAAGTTTCACCAGTAATTCTCAGGATTTATCAATGTGATTTGGTAAATGTGAGGTTTTTATAAAATAAAACATCATTTTTGTATCTTTCCCTAAACCAAATCTAACCTAACCAACTTTTTTGATCTTTTCTTTTCTTTGCTTGGACACCTCTGTCCCATTTGTGTTTTTATCGCGAAGCAGTTGTGTTTGCATGGCTGTGTTTCGGTTTGAAGGGTGGGACATGGCGTGAATTTACAGGGTACCTACAGAGGAATAACACCTGAGTCCTCAGGAATGGCAACGCATGGTAGGTATCATGGGAGAAACATAAACTCTGTTATGTCCATGGTATCGCTCATGGAACGCAATCTATAAGATACATCTTGTGGGTTTTATATTAACTTTATATTGACATTATGATTTAAATTTTAAATAATTGGAATTTTTAAAACGATATTTAAAGATTTCTTTTAATAATTGTATTTTTATAATACTACATGTCATACAATTACGTTAGTTATCTGGTCTTCAAACTAGAATAGCCAAAAGCTTAATTGCGGTTTTCAACCTGCCTGCCAAGCGTAGCAACTACTGCAAAACCTTCCTTTATGGAGTAGGCCTATGTTTAGCAGTGGACAGATGATATAATAATGATGATGACGAAGGCAGGTGTTTATATCTATAGACAACGGAGCATTCTTTAATGGCATATAGTCTGTTATATCCACGGTGCTGTTCATATTTTTAGACGAAGGTTACCACTTTCCATCAGGTGGGCCGTCAGCTTTTTTGCCGTTCTAAGTTACATACAAAAATAATAGTTTGCTTTTTAATGAAACTATACAGAAATTACTATCCGGATAACATAAGTTGCAAGATCAATTAAAGATTCGAAGTGACGAACTATAGTGAAGTTAGCACAGGTTATAGGTAGGTCGAAGTTTGCTAGACTCTTGATCTTTCAGGTCTAGTATTTCACAGTTCGCCGCTCGAGGCTGGTCATTAGGAGCGCAAGCACGATTGGCGAGTTAAGATTTTCCGTGTGTTCATTGAATCAGTTCGCTATCGGGTTTCCCGCTCATTTCCTATTCTCTGCACTAGGGTTGTCACATACTTACCAATAGAATATTTTAATTCAGTTATTTATTTATGTTGTACGGTCTCACCACTAAGAGGCGACTAAGGTTTTTTTTATACAACTTAGAATGGCAAACAAGCTGACTGCCCACATGATGGAAAGTGGTAACCGTCGCTTATAGACATGAGCAATACCATGGACATACCAGAGTATACTGTTTCGCCCATGATACCCCCCATGCGTTGCCATTCCTGAGGACTCAGGAACACCTGAGTCCTATTATTATACATTTTCCTTCATTCATTCATTCATTAAAAATACAATAACAATTCCTCTGTACCAAGTAAATTCACGCCATATCCCACCTTTCAAACCGCACCCCTATGCGTTGCCATTCCTGAGGACTCAGATGTTATTCCTCTGTACCCTGTAAATTCACTGCCATATCCCACCATTGGAACTGAAACACAGCCATGCAAACACAATTGCTTTACGGTGGAAACACGAATGGGACAGAGGCACCCAAGCAAACGACTTTTGTACAAAGTCTCCCTCTGGTTAATTTAAAGGTCGAGCGTCCCTCTTAAAACATTACAAAAGCTTAATTGCGATTATCAACTTGCATACTAAGAGTGATAACTACTGGTAAAACCTCCCTTATGGGGGAAGCCCATATTCAGCAATGGACAGTTAAATGAAGTTGAGAAATATTCCATTCCTATTAAAGTAATATTCTATCAGTAAGGCCAAATATTTTTTTCTAAAGAAACAGATCGTAAAATGCCAAAAAGTTTAAAGGTCCCAATCATGACGAGTTGACTAAAAATGAAATTCTCTCCTACTTGCTGTGCCCAACAGGGTCCATAATTGAAATGATATGTACTAAGTATATTATGGAATGCAATAAGAAATAAATAAATAAATAATTTTAAACTCGAAAAATTTTATACCTCTTATACTTACATGCATTCTTTGTTATTACAATATTGTAATTTAATTTATTAATTATTAGCGATCCGTTCCGGTATAGTAATAAGCATTTTATATGAGTATTTAATATTTATATATATTTTTGGGTCACATTATTGTAATTACGTACGTACGTAATGTATTTCTAATTTTTTTTGTAAACAATACTATAACTATGATATGTAACGTGTTACTCGCTGATAATGTAGTTTTCTTTATATGAAAGGATTTTTAAAATCGATTGAGTAGATTTTGAATAAACAAACAAACATACTACAAATAAGTCAAATATTTTCTATTTGTAGTATTAGTTAGTATAGATTATATTCAGT